CTAGCTGACTGGACCTAGCTGACTGGACCTAGCTGACTGGACCTAGCTGACTGGACCAGGCTGACTGGACCCAGCTGACAGGACCTAACTGACATTACCTAGCTGACTGGAGCTAGCTGACAGGACCTAGCTGACTGGACCTAGCTGACAGGAGCTAGCTTCGGTCAACCACCGGTAAACATGAGCCCCGCACCTGGGCATGGCTCCGTTAACGTGACAGAGAAGGGGCTGTCCAGCAAACCCGTGTCTCCACTGGGACATATCCAACACGTCTTCAGCCATGTGAGGATAGGGAACCTGGTGGCAGGACTGAGTGGGGGAGTGGTGTCCACGCTGGTGCTTCACCCACTGGACCTGGTCAAAATCCGGTTTGCAGGTACAGTATGAAATCACGTAGAATGTAAATGTGATTGTATAGAGACATCTGCATCACCATAGTGGGCCATCAGGGATCACAGCTACATCTGTTGTCATTCAGTGGAAATAAATGTGTGCATTATAGATCTGATATACAGGATGTTTCGGTGCGCTTGTAGAATGTGACATTAAATACAAATCTTTCGTGGTGATCTTGGATGTGTTTATATTGCAGTGAGTGACGGTTTGGAATTACGACCCAAGTACAGCAGCATAGTGCACTGTATGAGAAGTGTGTGGCAGCAGGAGGGCCTGAGAGGACTGTATCAAGGAGTGACACCCAATGTTTGGGGTGCCGGAGCATCGTGGGGTCTCTATTTCTTATTGTACGTATGTGAAAAGCACTCATACAAAATTGTCGATTCATGTGTGCATCATGACATTGTTCTTGTGCCATTTGTAAAATGATGCATTAACCCAAACTGTCCTCCCTCACAGCTACAATGCAATCAAAGCGTACTTAAAGGAGGGTCGTCAAACTGAACTGACTGCCACAGAACACCTGGTGTCTGCAGCCGAAGCAGGTTAGGACCACATTTATCTGAATTCTGTTGCCTCACACACACAGACACTTTCAGCTCACAGTAAACAACAGCAGCCAGATTACACTGCTCTGGGCTGGCCTCAGCTCACAGGAGATTTGTCCATTGCTGTCATGTGGGGTCACAAGAATCCATTTCCTGTTTGTCAAATTAAGTTAGGAGCTGAAAATGAGGCTTTTCAGAATTTCAGTTTTAACTGCATGAAAGCAGAATTATACTTTAGCACTCATATACGTAGATGTGTTAGTTGTGAGTCAAACCTAAAGGAATCCATATCCATCTATAATAACAGGACCTATATTATTACCATGTGACAACTTTGGTAAGAGATATACAGCATAACTTTACAACTTCACTTAAACCAGCTCGCTTCTCTAATTGATTCACGAGAACTCAACCACCTGATCCTGTCTGCAGGACTAAGATTAAGAGTTTGAAGTAGGTTGTGTTTGTTAACAGTCATGTGAGTCAATTCAAGTCACTCCTGCATGTACTTCAACGAGTATGTTTTTACATGTTACAAGCCTCGCCAGGACCATTTCCTATTTGTCTTCACGCAGGCATCTTGACGCTCACTCTAACCAACCCAATCTGGGTCACCAAGACCCGGCTGGTGCTGCAGTACAATGCTGATCCAAACAGTAAACAATACAAAGGGATGGTTGACGCTCTGGTCAAGATCTACCGCCATGAAGGAGTGCCGGGTCTATACAAGGTTAGAGAACAGTGTAATTTTGGATATGTGTGATCCAGAAATACGAAAGGCTCATTTTTGTTTGTGGCAGATAATATTAACAATAAGTTACTTTGTTGTGGAGTGTCACTAGAGGACAAGTTGTAATAACTTGTTTCTATAACTGAATTTGCAGCACAGACTGCCCTAATGCCTTGTCCCAATTCCTCTCCCTCGGTCCTACCCCTAGATATGAAATGCCCTTCGCTGGAAGCCACAAGGGAGAGGGCTAGAAAATCATCCAGTAGGAATATTGGACACCATTCGCTATGTCATCAGCAGCCAACTAACATTATTACATTAACGACTATTATCAACCAACATTATAATAGTGACACATCTGATAACTGCAGGACAGACGGCACAGATTGATCTAATGATCTATAAATAGTCAGTGTGTTTACATCGGTTGTTTCTATGTAACTTTAGTCCTGTCCATAGAAACATCTGCCCTGCACTGAAAACATTATAACATGAGCAGGGATGTTTTTTTCCAACTTCATGTACAGGACATGAGAAAAACAAACTTGTATCTCTCACTCAGAATGTTTAAATGCTTGTTTTGACTGCGTGAATAGTCATATTCCTGAAATGCTTGTTATGGCGATTCAATAACATTTTCATTTGCTCTGGGACAAAAATAAGATGTTCCGCTGGATTTAAAATACAAAAAAATTGTTATTTTGCAAGATTTCATTCTTAAATTTATGATTTCTCCACCCACAGCGGTCGCCATCTTGATTCGCATCCGTCCATTTGTAAAGCTTTCGGGAATTTCTGTCTACTCCTTTGTTTGTGGGTGGGTCCTGAATACACTATGTTTGACCAAACTACCTCTTCATGGCCAAACTCAAAACAAAGGCGTAGGACCAAGAGGAAAGCCTTAGGGGTGAATAGGGACAGGTCCCAAGTTTTCCTTGACTGTAATGAAATTTTGTATTAGTTTATTATTTAGTAATTGCTTCACCACTAGAGGGCGTATTGTTTCCTCTGTTAGTACAACACTAACTCCTGAAAATTGTTTTAACTGGGAGGATTTTTAAACTGCATTGTGGCTCCTTCATTATTATTATCTTATCACAACAATTGTTCCTGATTGTCAACCTGATAGACAGGAAGTTATGGACATTGTGTAGTTGGATTATGTGTTGATAGTAATCCATCCTGAATCAAGAGCTGATTTACATTGTGTATCCTTTCCAAAGGGTTATGTTCCTGGCCTGTTTGGCACGTCGCATGGAGCTCTGCAGTTCATGGCGTATGAGGAGTTCAAGAGAGACTACAACAAATACAAGAAAGTACCTTCAGATGCAAAGCTGGTGAGTCATTAACCCCATGAGCCACAGGCAGACTGGAAACATGCTCAGTGTAAAACTGAAGCATGAGGTTTGTATCTTTCCAGTTTAATGATGACTGAGACCACAGTTGATAACTTGCAGTTGGAGAAGAAATGACTCACCAGTTTTCCTACTCTGCTCATTTCTTAACCCCTCACCCTTTCTCTCCATTCGTCTGTCTGTGTAAACAGAATGCGATGGAGTACATCACAATGGCAGCGTTATCAAAAATATTTGCTGTCGCCACAACGTACCCATATCAGGTGGTGCGAGCTCGTCTGCAAGACCAGCACAATAAATACAATGGAGTTGTTGATGTCATAAAACGCACATGGAGGTATGATAGTGATATTCTCGATGTTTGAACTTGTTATCCTCTAATCAGTTTTCTAAATTCCAGTACAGGCTGATTCAGGCTCATTATTTTCCTTTTCTCCACAGGAACGAAGGCGCCATTGGTTTCTACAAAGGCATCATCCCCAATGTGTTACGAGTCACTCCTGCCTGCTGCATCACTTTTGTAGTTTATGAGAATGTGTCACACTTCCTGCTGGGAAGTAAATGAATGAGGCTTTAAAGGACATTGGACAGAAGCAAAGACTGAGCTTACATTTGATGTTGGTGCCACACGAAGAAACAAAGAGAAACACATCAGACTGAACACAGTACGTGTAAATGAGCCTATGTGAGAAGCATTCATTTTCACTGAAAATGAATGGAAAGAGCAGCCACACATTGGATTTTCTTTCTTACACTGCAAGTTCATGGATTTCAGTAACTTTCTTGTTCTAAACTTTCACCATGGTGGAGGGTTGTGCTGCCATTTGCCAAAATGGATTTAACGCTGTTGAGATGGATGATCAACTATGTTATTTCAAACTACGATCAATGAAATATTTCATCATATTGCAGTTATGTTTACATCTTGTGTTAGCTCACAGCAGAAAGGGACATTAGTCTGAAATGTTAAAAGCTGACCATCAACGTCAAATCTCAGGTTTCTAATTGCATGCACGCACAATATTAGTTTGTCTTTTAAGTTATTTCTTTATGTGAAGAGCAAAAATAGATGTTATTGCATGTACAATATGTCATTCTTTGTTGACATTATCTTGTTTTTTTGCAGCCGATTTTAACTGTATCACTTAATAATGTTTTGTTATAAAACCCAAACTGCTTTTTCTCCATTATCTCATGTTTCATGTAGACACCTCGTGTCTAAGTGAAATTATATTTTAAAGCTTCTAAAACATATCAGTGATTAGAAGTAGTCACATCAATGAGTTAAATTCTTTAAAAAAAGGATTATTTTATTAACAGTAACAATTTAAACATAAGTACATAGTTTAAATATTGTCAATGTCTTATCACAAAGTCTGTTTATCGGTTACTGGAATGTAACAGCACCCTCAAGAAGAGAAGCTACAGTACAATGTTTATTTCTGGTGGACAGAATGACAAAGGATTCTTGTTTGCAGGTCATCTAGTATCGTACTCCAACGAGAAAAGAGAAAAACATTCAAGTTACAATCAGTGATGCTGTGACGCCTCAGCAAAAACCATACCCGATCATTTTGAGGGAAAACATACTCTTACACTGCCACGACTGTTTGTTCAGATTTATTTAGGCAGTTCCTCAATGATGACCCTGGATACTGAGTTCCAGCCTGTAGATGCGTCACCTCTGGGGTAGTCAGCGCAGGTCCCCACCCACACGGCCACATCAACCAGCCCAGCTTTAACACCCTCGCACAGGCCTTCAACTGCAGAGGGACAAACAGAGGATCGTGTGAGAGAATGAATTTCAGTGAACATGTAAACTGTCTTGTTTTAGTTTTATTGACACAGTGGTGCACTTGAAAAAAATTTATAAGAGGAGAGCTTTAAAGTTTGAAAATTGCTGACAAAGCTTTGCAAAAATGCAATTAAATAACCACTTAAAGGAAGAGTTTGTCACGGAAATTGAAAGGCTTGGCTTGTAAACAGCTACTCTCAGCCGACAGTTAGCTTAGCTTATTACAAGAGTGACAAAGGTAGCCTTGCTGAGCTCTGTCCACATGTAGCCAAAGTAGCAACAGGTACGAAGCTAACCTGTGTCTGTCATCATGTAATGAAGATGAATAAAGCTGGGAATATTAACCCACTGGAAGAAACCTGTGAACACCCGATAAATATTACTACTGGTCATGAAACAGTGTAAAACAAAACGTGTAGTTTTTATACTTTGTTTTTGTTTGCATGGTTTACATGGTGTAATGTATTCAGTGAGTTTTGGAGAGCAAACTGTTTGCCCCATAGACTAGGCTTCTATAAAGATGGACGACATGACAGCTCCCCAAAAGTGAAGCCAAAGCATCTTGATCTCCCCCTGGTGGCTCGCTACAGTATTAGTCATAAATCCTGCCTCTTCCATTTTAGTTGATGGGACACACACTAAACTAAAAAGTCAAAGTATACATGAAATATCTAAAAATATGCTTTCTGTCTGTTTGGGCAGTTTTTATCACACTGATGAATTGTTGAAGTGTTCATGTTCAGGGTAAGTTGGGTGATAATTAGCTATTTGATGCTGTGATGATGCTACTCAGGATTGGTCACCATATGATTAATGAAGTGGATGTTTGTATGTTAGTACAGTCCAGGGCCACTAGAGGGCTTCAGTAGACCAACTATAGCTTATTAAATTAACATACCGGAAAAGAAGAAGTTCACTTTATTTATCGCACAAAAGATCGTATATACTCCAGTCGTACCTGAGGACGTTCTGTGAATGTTGATGGTTGAGTTGAGCTCAGGGCTTCCCTGGTCTAAGTAGATGATTGACTCTATGGGCAGGGGTCCAGAACACTCTGCTCCGTTGAAGGTGAAGTACCACCTCTGGCAGCAGGCGTTCTTACACTTGAGTCTGAGGGAGCCACTGAAGAGGACTCTGAGGGCGCTGTCTGAACGCATCTTGGTGAATGTACAGTCCTGCAACACAACATTTAAAGTAATGCTGCCACTGATATGCATTGGGTTGGCTGTGAAACAAACATTTATGTGAATTTATAAAGTGAAGTGAACAAGCATATGAACAAGCATATTTTCTGTGTCAAATTACTTACTGCCACTTTACCCAGGTCGATCCCATAATTCAGAGAGTTCCAGGCACACTGCTTGTAGTTGGGCTTCCAGGGTTCCTCGAAGATCTCGCTGATGCACTCGCCTTTTTCACCTTTGTGCCCGTCGCGGCCAGGGATTCCCGGCGTCCCCGGAATGCCGTTAGCCCCGGGGTTACCGTCTCTGCCAGAGGGGCCTCCTGGCCCCTGCATGCAGCTGCCGTACTGGAAAAACAAGGAAGAGAAATAGAGGTGGAAGTCAATAATGAAAGGAAGACATACAACAACAACATCTGTTGTTATCAAACCTGTTATTTTAGTTTTCTTTTTTCAGTTAAATCCTTGTTTGGGCTACATGCACCACAGACAACTCAAAGCTGCCATCCATCCAACCATCACATGCAAGAAGCCAGACTACTCCTCATTTACAATTCACGTAAACAAATACACTGCCATCGGGGTGAAGTAAGTGTAAAAACAGATGTGATCGGAACCAAGGCAAAGCAACAGAACCAGCAACCGTGACACCATGAAGCAAGTGACAACAGATTGAATGTTAATGAGGAACTGACATCTTGGTGAGGACCTAAATCAGCAGTTGTCTGGCCCCACATATCTTAGTGTGATTCATTCTCCTGCTAAATCTGCTGCTATGTTTAGACAGATGCTGCATCTTACTCAAGCTGACTCAAATACACACAGACATGGAGACAGGGGAGCTCGCCAAAACCTACCACATACAGAGGCTGACACAATGTAGATCCAAATAGCTTCATGTGATGTGTTCTTCAAAGACACTGTTTGAGTGTAGGTCAGCTCTTCCAAGTTTTCTTCTTTTTTTACTCGGAGTTGAGTTTTTAATTTTGGTGTGGTGATTTGTGAGTGTCATCTACTCATTCATTTAGTCGGGACAGACATAAACTGACACGTAGAAGTGCGTCCTCGCCCTTGGCTCAGGTTTTTTTTTTGTTGGGTCATTGCTTCCCCTTTGTCCTCAGCATGCAGCTGTGGAGCAGTTATAGGGGGCACATGGCCAAAAGACTCTAAGACGATAAATACTCCCAAGGAGGGAAAGAACAAAGAGCTTTTCTTCCTCTTTCAGCATCTTGTCCAGACTTGAGTCTCTGGAGTAAAGCAGAAAAATCCAGATCAAACCACGTGAAGCTGCAAAAAAAGGCTAAATGTAGAGAGAACTACAATATTTTAACCTCAGCTGCTGAGGAGCAGATGGTTGAGAGTCTGTTTTAGCCATTAAGTGGCTTTGCTGGAGCAACCTGGAGACGTAAAGGTCTGACATCATCTCTGCTGGAAACCAGACAGTCTGTGATGACAGCATTCAATTGCAGGTTGGTATGCAAGTGCTATAACACACTTAGGGATTTATCCTAAAAGAAAAAAAGGGACAACACCTCTGAGCGTCTTGGGGGGAAAATGAAAATGTCCCAAACCCACTGTTAGTCTGTTTGGTTGATATTCGCCAAGGAAACGAGTCTGTTTTAATAAGGGTTGGATTTTTGGAGACCTTTCAAAGCGTGGAACTGAATGGAACCTCTGTCCACAAAGCCACACAGCTGACTTTTATATTAGCTTCCAGTCTGCTCTTTCTATAGTGGTGCTGCCTGCCTGCATGAATTACACTCCAGCCACCGCTGCATATTAGTAGCACACAGTCCGTTACTGTAACCGATGCGTAAAGGCTGCATTTGCCCCCAAATTGCAGAGGAATCAGTGGTATTTCATGCATTAGTCCAAACTGAGGCGAGGGCTGAGGCTCTCCTCGAGCATGCAGAGCGTGGATATAAAGCCGGGCTTTGAGAGTTCTTCAGATTCAGAGCACCTCCAGGATTTTATGATTACCGTGTTGCTCAAATGAGCAGATCTCCTCTCTCCAGAGTGACTAGTGCAGTTGGGCTTTTCTGCATCATTTCCACCAGTGCACTAGATACAGATGGTAAAATAAGATGCTATTCATTATATCCCGCTCCTGTGGTCTCAGCTGTGGAATAACACTTTGGAGGATAACAAAAAGCTGAGCTCAGTGGTTGTCATTGTGGGTCATGCAGACTCTGAGTCCCTGTGAGGGCGGGGGACCCGCAGAGTCTCCCCCAACAAAATAAACATTAGTTTCACTTTCATTTGACTCCCAAGAGAATAAATAGAGAATGTGTGTCCACTCTGTTCCTTCACCCAACAACAACCAGGGAGGTTATGTAATTCTGCTCAAAAAAGTCTAAGATCAGGGTTGGTGAAAACGAGTACATTCAAGCGGTGGTGGACTTCAATGACAAAACTGAACCTCACTTTAGTTTTATTTCTTTTTTGAGAATATTAATATAATTATTTGAGAATTTAAGACATTATTACCCTGTAGTATTCATCCCAACCTCAAATCAGATAAACAGTACAAATACACACAGGCATCAAAGAAAAGGCAGACAATCTGTGAGCCAGACCCCAACTTCCTGTTGGGAATTCTTTTTGTTTTGTTCTGTTCATTCAGGCTGTTGAAGAACAGCCACACACTTAGAATAATAGAGAACCAACTGACCATACAAAAAGCTTTATATCTTTTCTGCTGCCATGTAGTTTTGGTGACCACTGTGCTAAAGTTGTGACCACACTGATTGAAGTATTAGCCCACATGTGGATTATGTGGGTGAATCAGCAACTTTTTTTTCTTTCTTCTTCTTTTTAGAGAAGTCAGTCTAAGTATAATCCGATAGTCAGTTTAAAGCAAATAGCATGCAAAGTGCACAATGATGATAAAAGATACAAGTGACGAGGAGAACAATATTTTGATAGAAACCCTTTTTCTAAGTTTTTCATTATGGGAAGCCACAAAGACAAGCCACACAGCATCACTGTCTTCTATAAAGTCACTGAACTTTTAGAAGTGATCATAGTGACTGTGTGGTTCATCTTATCTGCTCTCTCTTACCTTGTCTGCGTCGGGATCCTTTCGGTATCCTCTATTTCTCACCTTTTCCACGCCATACAGGGGCAGAGCCAGGCAGGCGAGCAGCAGCAGCAGGCGGCCAACAACCAGCACAGACATCATCATACAGCAGAGAGCAGAGACTGAGTGAGTGTGTGGCGACAGTTTGACTCCAGCTGCAGCCAGTTTGAGTCCAGAGGAGGAGGAGGGCAGGACGAGAGGGGAGCAGCTATAGTGAAGCTGCAGGAACCAACTCGAAAGGAAACAAAAGAAAAACAGTGTCAGCGTCCCTCTGAGATTCACATAGCAGCAGAACACAACATACATTATCTCAAGGCACTTTACATTGAGGTTGAGACCTTACACAATTAGAGAGACACTCAACACTTCCCACAATGAGCAAGCATAGTGGACTGTGGAGACCCCCCCCCCCCCCCCATTAACTGGAAGAAAGAAACTTCAAGCAGAACCAGACTCAGTGTGGGCGACCATCTGCCTCGACCGGTTAGGGTAAACAGGGAGTAATGGGGAGAGACAAAGGAGAGAGGGAAAGAGAGAGAAAGAGAGAGAGAGAGAGAGAGAGGGAGAACAGGGATATTTGTGTATGTGTCATATTTAAGCTCTCTCAGACGAGTTGTTATAATGAAAATAATAAGAGTGATGCTTCTGACCATCCTTCTCAAGAGGCTTCTTAGGAGTTGAATTTAATCACTGAGACAAATATATATTGTGATATTGTGTACATTCATGTGTAAGCCAATCAACTTCTCTCTCAAATTTTTATGTATTTTTAATTTCATTTCAAGAATCCCATTAAAGAGATTATAGTTGAGAGAACAATTAGCATTTTAAGATTAAATAAAGATGAGGCAAAAGGGAAGGCTATTTCTAAGCAGCTAAATGTGAGTATGAGAACTCAGGCTAAATCTCATATTGATCTGGGCAAGACAAAGAGGTGATCTCATTTTGAAAATGTTCTTTCCCCTGAGTTAAAAGTTAGGTTAAGCTAACAGATGAAAAATTAAGTTTTAACAGTATTTTGTGTGTTGATAGATGAACACTGTCCCTATCAAATAAATAATGACAAATATCTTATAATTAAGACAATTAGTGACACCAACACATAAATTCAATCTTTTATTATTCAATATTTTATCAAAAACAAAATTGGATTGAAAAGACAGGCTACATAAAAACAGCTCACAGAACTGTATTGACAGAGGTTTTCAAAGTGGGAGGAAGGCTCAGGGAATATAAGTGGAAATTGATTTGGTAGTCACATAAAACAGCCTAACCATGTGGGATTTGGTTAAATAGAAATTGAGCAAAACTACTTAAACTTAGTTGGGGCGAGGAGGCCCCTCTTTCCCAGCTTTGTCTGAGGCCCCCATTCTCTCACTTTGAAAACCCCATTACAGAGTATTTAATAGACACTACTATCATATGCAAGACCCCAGTCCACATGTCAGAGTAAGAATATACAGTAGAAATAGGCTGAGGAGGATTCCCTTTTCAATAGTGTTACTGAAACTATCACGTGTCTCCCAAATATAAAAGGTAAAGAAAGCTGAGGGAAGAATCGGCCCCTACACAGCAAAACACTACAGCACAAGACATGCTCTAATAAAAAAAACTTCTCGAAAGAGTGATGTATGATCTGTGACCCATGTGTTATAAAAAAAAACCTGAACAATCCACAAAACATTTCAAATATTCATTTATGACTATTCATAGTTTATAAGTAGTGGTTTGTGCTTCTAATGAAAAATATTGCAAAGCCTGTTTGATTTGTTTCTTCAATTTGCTTGAAGATCATAAAACTTAACGCTTACAACAAGAACACAGGTAGACATCACACATGCAAAGCATCTGTCGGTTCTTTGAGGAAGAGGAAGACACATTCTTTCAGAAAACTATAAAGCTTGAATACTTGATCCAGATTCACATCTTTGAAAACGCTTACAGGGGCCAAGAATCTGTGTTTACACAACATAAATATGGAGGAAAATGGAGGTAAACATAAAATGAAAGAACATCTTATAAGAAAATTTAAAAAAAAAATCAAGTTTAAGAGTATGCTTCTTTTCGAAGAAGAAAAAAAAAGTTGCACAAAGTGTATTACAAGATGAGGTTTCAAGGTAACCCACCTTTAACACAAAGAACAATAAGACATTCAATAAGAGTTCACCACAGGAAGTCTCTCCTCATGCTCAATGTTTGGCATCATCATCATCTTTCTAGCAAAACTCTCAGTGTAACGACTAGTCCAGTCAAAGACTTTCAAAAAAATATGTAGATAAATATTTCTTGTGTTAACTAGTATGCATTATATGCTTCTGAGCTACCAATGTACAAAACAGTGGAGATAATATACTCCTTAAAATCAAACTGGTGGTTTTACAGTTGGGACAGAGCTGCTGTGTGCGTGAGGCTAAAAGCTCAGTAAAGCTGAAAGACAAAATTGTGACCCAAACTAAATTAATCTAGCACCTTCAGATTCTCTGCTAAAACTCACTGAACCACATTTGAAATACTCAAGGTATGATACATCTTGCTGGTGATACACATTCACTGACTATAATGAAACCAATACAATAATAATCTGATGAATACAACACAAAGAGGTAACATCAACCAGCAACAAGTGTGACTGTTTACACAGTGGTATCATGGATGAATGGATCGATCGATAAATGGATGGATGGATGGATGAATAAATGGATGGATGGATGGATGAATAAATGGATGGATGGATAGATAAATGGATGGATGGATGGATAGATAGATAAATGGATGGATGGATAGATAAATGGATGGATGGATGGATAGATAGATAAATGGATGGATGGATAGATAAATGGATGGATGGATAGATAAATGGGTGGATGGATGGATCAGATATCTTAGCAGCTGCTATCCTTTGTGTCCTTGCTCTCCTCAGGCACCTTGTGCACCAGCTGGTGGGTGGAGTCGTGGATGATGCTGCTGTGTGATTTTTTTATAGCTGGATGTTGCTGTCCAATGGGAACCTGTCTGGCCTCTGACAGCTCGCTCTTCGGAGTCATCCTAAACCAATCAGGACACATTCAAGGTTATTGGTGGTTACTGCTTGTACAAGTGTAGTTCCATATACAGAGAAGCCATGTTTTACAGCAGGTAGTATTAGTGTTACTTCTAAACATTTTCAAAACATGAAGGTACAGACAAGGTAAAACATTTTCCAGTCACTGTGGAATTTTGCAAGTTGCTGACTAAAGTTTCTGATCGGTGATCGATCAGCAGATCGCTACGTGTGAACTCTTCAAACACGCAATTAGGGAAGCTTGAAGACACATCGCTGACGTGTCGCAGATCAGCTGAAAATCTCCTCAGGGTAACTCCAACCAATCGGAGCTCAGGACAGGGTGAAGGTACATGAAGTGGAGAGATGCTCCCCAATTTATTTTACATTTTAAATTGCAGAAATCGAGCAGGGACAGAGTAACACAAACTCAGGGCAGCTTTTATTAACTGCATTGGGCTCAGGTCGGGCCTGGACAGAAAAAAACACCAAATGCCTTTTGGGTTGTGGTTGGGCTCAGTTAGTCAGATGAGCAGGAACTCACAACTGCTAGACTACGATCACATGACAACTAGCAGCGTCATATGAACTGTGCAGTGATCCTTTGACTTTAACAGTTATAAAGTGTGAGCTCTGCTTATGATATCTCAGATCTGGCCTCACTTACCTCCCATCTGGATGCAGGTTCTCTGAGTGGCTGCTGACCTTGCTGGAACCACCTCTGCTGCGTCTCTCTCCCCGCTCCCTCTCTCTGTCCCTCTCCCCTCTTCTGGAGCTTCGGCTCGAGGTGCCCCTGTCCAGGTGCTCCCTGGCTGAGGCCTCAGACAGAGAACCTTGCATGTGGGGATCATGGTTGCCCAGTGCAGAGGTTCCTTTACTAGTGGTGTTGGCTAGGGTGGAGGCAGGGGTGGGAGAAGCGCCCGTGCTTGTGCCCATGGACTTGGAGATGACCTTGAGCTTGTGAGAGCTGGGCTTGTAGTGTTTCTTCTTGTGCTGGACGCGGCTGTTGTGCTTGAGGAAGAACTCGCAGGACTCCTGGAGCACCCGGCGGCTCTCGCTGATGGGACTGTGGGTCAGCGATCATGAAAATGTTTTACGATAATGCATAAATAAATCTATTTCTTCTGGTAACTGAGTTTGAATTGTAACAATATAAGAAAATGGCTCTCACTCTCTCTTGCGGGTCCTGTTGAAGAAGTACGCCCACTCAGAGCATGTCTTCTTGCTGCTGACCCAGAACACTGCAGATATTCCAACCACCAGCGTCATCAAGTATTTTACCAAAAACAGAGAGAGGTCTGGACGGTCGTTCTCTGTTGTCTGAAACAAAGAAGCAAAATCAAATTGAACAAAAGTGTGTGAATCATCATATATATATATATACTTTTTGTATAAATATTTTCCTGCATTACATATTTTGTATGTTTGCATTTGAGTCCAGCTCAGCTTAAACACGACACGACACAATGTTAGTTGCAAAGCCTTTTCTCATCTGCACTTTGGCCTTGACTTTTTCCACAACATGTTCAGTAAGTGAATGAGCCACAGCTACCTTGTAGGAACATGGGATGCTGTACTCCTGACAGCGGTCGTTGATCCAGGTGTTCTCCCAGGCGCTGCGATGACTCTGTTCGTAGGTGTAGCAGGCTAACAGAGTGACCAGCGGGACCAGATAAAGGCAGCTGAACACACCGATGCGGATCATGAACTTCTTCAGCTTCTCCTGGTTACGCTCGTCGTGCTGAATGACCTGTCGGACGTGGTTGAGGGAGACGATGCCTGCCAGGATGAGGAAGAGGCCGACTATGACGCCAACACACAGCGGAGCCAGAACAAAGTAGCGCAGGGCGTCCAGGTCATAAAGTCCTACAAAACAGACCCCGCTGATGTTGTCCCCCTCAACCTTGTTCATGGCAAGTAGCATGACAGTTAGCGCTCCGGGGATCCCCCAGGCTGCAGAGTGAAACCACACCTACAGACAGATGACAAATATGAATGTTTTCGATTTATCATTTTATATTTATTTTCTATATTGTCTTGTTATTTTCAAAGAACACGAGAGCATAAATCCCGAAAACCGTACCGCCTTTTTCTCTATGGCTTCACAGCTCCACTTGGGTCCAGCTGCCAGGAACCAGGTGATGGTGAGGATGACCCACCAGACAATACCGGCGATGGAGAAGAAGTAGAGGAGCATGAAAAGCAAAGTGCACCCTTTACTCTGAGAGCCGAGCACCACTGTATCGATGCCTGCAGGCTGCACTGCCTTAGTACAGGCCGCTTTGTTCCCCAGCAAGAACCCGATGAAGTATATGAGCGAGACGAAGCTGTAGCAGACGGCGTAAAAGATTATGGGCCGCTCAGGGTAGCGGAAACGCTTAACATCAATGAGGAAAGTGAGGAATGTGAAGAGAGTGGCTCCCAGGCAGATGATGGAACACACGCCGATGAAGCTCTTTGCAAACTCAATGTCGTGGGGTTTGAAGTACATGTTGGAGCAGGGCGGAGCACAGTCCTGGGCGCCCAGGAACGATGATCCATGACCTGGCTTGGTCTTTAACTGCAGAGGGCACCAGAAGCCCAGGTCCCTCATAGCTGATGAGGAGATCACTGGTGTGGTTGCAGGAAGAGTAGAATCGACATCAGAACTACATGAATCCAATCTAAAGGGAAAAAAATTATAACGGTTGATCAATTTATGCGAAAAAATTTGTATTGCTTTTGTGGATGTCTGTACGTGACGCCTTCTTACTTGTCACATTGTAGCTCAGGAGGCCATGTGATGCCAAAGATCCGGATATTCTCCTTGCAGTCTGACAGAACTTCCTCACAGCGCTCTCGACAAGGACGAATAACTTTATTCTCCTCAGTGCATGCTGGGATAAAGGCTTGACATAGGAAGTGGTGGACGTCTGGAGAGCAGCGGAGGTTTGTCAGGGGCATGAAAGGCTGAAGATTAAAAGAAAGGTTTTGTAATTAATGATTCACATTTGAAAGTAAACTCAAAGTACATGAACATGTTTAGTACATTTAAATTTTGAAAGGTAAGTGCGGATACACACATTAATATATATATAATCATTTAAAACACTTTTGGAAAACCTTTTATGGTCAGATTTCTGGGAAGTTAAAATGAAAGTAAAAGTATGGTGAAGGTGCTCATTGGTTCACAAAGGAACCCAAAATGTCAAGAGTACCATGGCACTCTTCTGGGGGGAAAAAAGTTACAATAACCTTAATTTAAATGGCTATTTCATGGTGCAATTCTGAGTATGGCGGCTCTTCAGGGTATTAATTTCAGCTTGCTGAGCTTCAGTGCTCTATAGCGCCACACAAAGGGGCCCATTGACTGGCAAGCAAACCATATTCTTCCTTTCAACACACTGGTCAGGAACTTGAGAGAGGGGAAGAAGGAGAAGGGGGTGCAGTCTAGGTGGCAGGAAATGAGTGTGCGGACATTTGGAAACACACAACCGGCCAAGAGGGCTGGAATGCAGAGCTGTTGATAGGATAGGCTGCTAAGGAGCCACACAGTATTAGTGTGTCCACAGGGTGTGTAGATATTTATCAGTGGGATACATGGCTCACACTGAAGACAACCTCATTCCAGTTAAACAAATCCACATCATGTCTATGCTCTTGTTTATTTATCCTTAGGTTTTAAGTTGAGACTTTGTAGACAGGAAGAGTTTTCTGTAATATCGCCTGTAAACCAAGTTGCATCACCCAGAACTTCTTATTGTAACCATGTGGACATTTTAAAGCAGTTGGGGATGCAACTGCTGGTTTGAACCTCATCAGACCTTCATGTGCAGACAGACTGATGTCAGTCCATACTGCCAATATTTGTACACAAAAACATACACATACGCTCTAGCACAGTCCACTATTCAACATCTCCTGTCTTTTTTCCTCCTGAAATCCAGTCTGGCAGTAGGCCCAGTTGTGGGCCCTCGGCTTGCCCTCTCCGACAGTAAGCGTCCTTGTTTCCCTTACTTTGGAGGTCTTGGACTCCTTGTCAGTGAGTTCCCACTTGCTCAACAATCTGACCTTTATTTGCTTTAGAGCAGAGTTACCATAAAAACTGCCCTCATTTCGGGAACAGGCAGGATCAGCACTTCAGGTCGAGTTCATTTGGACTTAAAGGCGAAATCCTCTGCAGAGAATTTCATAGCAAAGCACTTCAAGGATTAAGTGATTCACAAAAAATGGCTGCACACTCACTTTTCAAACTTCACCTCAGACTTCTAAGACACTTGGGTGTTCCCTGTCTGTTACAGTACATCCACTTTGTTTATCTTTGAAATCTAACACATCAAACTTTTCTATTTGAAAAAGCTTGCAAACAGAGGTGGAATCTAGGACCCATGGCAGAGAAAGTTTAGCCCTCCTCCGGAAAATCCTACCGACAGACTGGTGTGAGTCCAGTATGCAGCCAAAGTCTGCTTGATTACAGCATTGAGGCTTTATGGTAACTCACTGCACCATTTCAGAAAGAACTATATACAGTATGTATTGTTGAATGTAAACCACACTGTAGCCTGTCACCTGGGTGACGGCACCGTGGAGGTACGAGTGTGTACAGGGGGGAGAAATGAGTGAGTGATTAACAGAGAGAATACTCGTTGTGGTATGCAGGGTTGGCTTTGTATGGGACTGGGTGTGTCCCTCCCCTTCCTGCACAAATCAAAGGCTCCTCACAACAAAGTCGATGGAGTTGCCGATGGCCAAGGTTGCTGTGAAATAAGAAGCCTTTACCTTTGCCAGATGCCACACAAAAGACTCCTTCAACAGATCACTGTTCACGCTCAACACTCCAACACCAAACATGTGTAACCCAAACCCAGGCCCCCAGGAAGGCAGCGACTTCACTGCTCAGTCTCAGCACAAAACATGTTTGTAACTGAGGGCATTAGTAGTGAGATAACACAGTGAGGATGTTATACGAATTCACACACTGGCAACATAGTGCACTTGACTTAGTTTGGGTGAGATTCCATTAGGCAAGATTTTTACAAAGAGAAATGAGGATTAGCATGAAAATGTCACTTTAAATCAAACGAAAGTTTGATTTCTCCTCACTTCATATGTATGAAAATAGAAATTATAATGTTACTGCAGCTATAGTCTATATTTTCCCTTTTTTAAAAAAAAAGATAAAACGTGTGTGAGTGTATATAACACATTGGACGTAACTCTTGCTTTGTACAGTAGGTTCCTATCATAAATAGTGTAGTGCCTGTGTAGTGCCTGTTCTAAAGCTGCCTGTAAATGGGATAGTTCATCAGAAAATGTAAAATTCACTCATTCTCACCACTATGCTGATGGAGGGCCATGTGAATTGTTTGAGTTTCAGGGGTAAACAGCGTTGCAAAGTTTGGTAGCGCTCGGCTCAGTACGCAGAACCCCAAACTGGAGAACCCCTTGTCGCCATTGTCGTGAAAGTGCTATTGTATTTTCTTGGGGCCTTAACAATACACATGCTAAATGTGAAGGTGATCAAATTAACAATTCTTGAGATATGCTTCCCACATAGAGACAGACAAAGATTTCTGATTTTCAGACAGATGTTCTTCCTGAATCTACTTTTCTTGTTATAGAAACTAAACATCAAGACATTCCTTCATTCACACCTTGAATCTGAACTGATTTCAATAAGGCAACAATATGTAATTATTAAAATAATGTATTATTTTTTTCATGGTTTTCATGTTCACAACATAACTGTTCATTCACTCCATGGTGCTCTATAACAATCAGGCATAATTAACACAAACTGTGGCTGGTAATTTGTGTCTAGCTGTTGATGACCATTACAAAATGGTTATTATGGTTCAATCAATATGCTCCTGAGGGCTGATGGACACTGGCATTTAAAGACCTGACCTAATGATGGCATAAATAATGAAAATCATTTTGAGATGATATTTGACTTGAATTATATTTGTTATTCATATTTATTTTGTATTTACAAGCGGAGTAAGCTTTTTTTCTATCACAGACCGATAGAACATTTTTAATGGAAACTGAGATTAATGAAATGCTTCAACGTGAGTCAGCAGCTGTTAAATCTTATTTACTGAGCTTCTGGATTGGAAAAAAACATCTCATTCCAACAACCTGACAGCATCACATATATTTTGCCTCAACATGTTACAGTTCATCATACTAAATACACATTTCAGCCAAATTCAATCTAATGTATTAAACATGTTCTTGGAAACTCTGAGATCTCCACTTAATTTTAAAATAAAGTGTTGTGGGTTTCACTGTGGGTAACTCACCTCCATATTACTGGCTGCAATATCCTGATCATAGTGCTCCATCATGTTGGGAAAGAAGGTCATGTTGTAAGGCATCCCCAGGCACCGATGAACTCTGATCGGCTCACAGGTAAACAGGCTGTGGGCAGCACACATTCTCACCCATATCAGTGCCAGGCACACCCACAGTGGTCCTGGCATCAGCATTCTGAAAAGTGAGTGTGTGTGTGTGTGTGTGTGTGTATTTTGTGTAAAGTAGAACAGATTCCTTTTTGGCTCTGTGCGAGGTTGTCTTGGCCCAGAAGTTGAATTCCCCTGGCTCACACTGTTATCCACATTTCACTCCACCTGGGGACATCTCAGCAGAGCGAGTTGATGTTGCAGGAGGTAAGACTTTCCCATCAGCCCCCCTGTCAGCATGGCCTCTGGGTCACAGATAGGAAACCCACATCTGAAATGAAAGTAATTATACTGAATTAGATTTACACTTTCAGCTAAACAAGGAAAGAGACTCTGGTTTGAGAGCACAGCCTACATTTCATGACGACTTGTCCTCAGGAGCTGAAAGTTCTGTAGCTGATTATTACTGCATTTACTACAGAGTTGCAGAGCAGACACAGACTGGGCTCCTTTCATCGCAACAGCCTTTAATTGCACCACCACATAAAGAAAGAAATTGAACTACCCCTTGTTGTTTTCTTTGCACTCCTACAGGCCTCAGGGCTGCAGTGTGAGGCATCAGTGTTTAGAGACACATCAGGAAGATGGAATTAATAGACTCAAATCCAGTCAATCCCTGTGCAGCCTTTAACTACATGCATTTACACGGGGTGGGGAATGCTTAAAGATGGGAGCTGATTCAAAAGAATGAGTCTCAGCTTGTTGCTGCATATTAAACTTCACAATCAAGCATCAATGTTTTCACAAGCACACCTGTAACTAAGAATCTTGAAAGCCTGACAGAACATAATACTGTGATACAAAAGCATCAGTATCAGTATCAGTGGTTTAGGTTTTTATAGGTGCCCAAACAGGTCTAGATCAGGATACTACTCCTGGTTATATCCTGCATAATGACACGTATACATATGTGTTGTAAGCTACTTACATTAAAGATATTATCTAGTAAGAATAACGAGATAAGATGAGGAAATGGTTGCATGAATTCCTGACGATTGTGCTGATATCACCGGTGGTCAGAGTTTATTCAGTGTTTCCTTATCTGTGTTGACATGGAGCCACCTTCAGCAGTCTCGATGGTGCAGACCTCAGGCCTCGGAGTTTCTAACTTTCACTCCAAACATGTTGCAGAGTAAGTACAGTTTGGTTAGCTACTAGCATAAACTTTGCTGTTAGCATATTAGCAAGGACTGAACATAGAATGGAGAAACGAACAAAACAACAAACAACTTCACCTCTTCGGGAACTTATATTCAACCTGAATCTCACCGCTATAGAGTATGTGTCAGTTTACCGCGGGCACTGGAAGCCGTGTCCCCCCCCCCGAACATTAGACACCAGCCGTGGGGAGAGAGTACAGTAAACATCCCTGCCTCGGTTCGCTGCCATGGGACAACGGGGGCCCGGAACAACTTTGTACGCAGGAAAAAAACTCTGTGGGGGTTTGAAAAACTGAAACACAAACACTCACCCTCAACTGCACAGGAGTTGGAGACGCAGCTGACTACATGGAGACAGCTGGTGCGGACCTGTGGGGGATTCGTCGGCGTGTTTCCTGGGACAGACTCCGGCTCCGAGCCTCCAGCCTCAACCTCCGCTTCTCCGCCTGCTCGAGCGGCGTTCAACTGCAGTGGGGAATGTGACCACTTCACTGCAGACGCGTGTGAGTGTCGGTGGGAACAGATGTTCATACTGGTTCACAAAAAGAGTCGGCACATGATTGTGTTGATATAATATTTGTGTTAAATGAGCTTGTCTCCGGTGTGGGGTTTTTTTTTTGGGGGGGGGGTTAGTTTTTGTGACAGTCTGGGTATGACGGGGAGCACCTGAACGCAGCATGTGTGCAGATCAATCACTGTGTGTGGAATTCTGTATCTAAAGCATATTGTGACGTCACACTGTTCTCTTGCGTCTATTGGATGATGTCATTGTTTATATTCATACAGTGTTTGGATCTTATTTTTTTCTTCTCATTACAGTTCCTGCATCCATATCAACAGTGGTTTTTCATGGGAAGATTAAAAGGCATTTAAGGCATTTATCAACATTTCAAAACTCACAACGGTGTTGATACAGTATAGAGGACAATATAACACAACAAACGTAAGGCATATATAATTGAATAAATAAATAAAGGATCCAATTCAAGCAGTATACACGAGTCCAGTCAGGGGCATGTTTGTCCCTCGTGCATCGAAGAGATGTTGCAAATATCTTTGGTTCATTCTTCGAAGGGCTTGGCTTTTAAATATTTACATCCACGAATAAAGTGCTTGCCAATCAGAGTCAGGGTATTTATCAGAAAGTCAAAAATGTCAATTTTCACAAGTAATCTAGCTATAATCTAAAAATGAAGAGATAAAGGATGCATGTGTAGTTTTCCTAAATACAGTTTAATGGTGTGAACTACATCCCGCAGTATTTATCAAATGTGTCAAAAACCGACTATTAAAGGACTAAAGCAATGACTCTCAGAGTAAAAATAAAAGTCGAATAATAAAATAAAAATAGAATAAAATGCATGATGGTATGACCTTGTAAAATGGTTTTGTTAAAGACACTAGACACATACAAAGTTTACAGTATGGAGTTATTATTACTATTATAGTTAAGGTTGTTGTTTGTTTTTAAGTATTAAAACCTCTTGTACGAGCTACACAAAGCTTACATCAACCCGACATTTCCCCTTGTGTTTCTAGGGGAGCCTACACATGTGCACTTGCCGTATTCCAATTACCCACCAGGGGGCGCTGCATCCTGTCTGTGTTCACATTCATGTGACTGCCATAGTGGGAGAGAGAGAGAGATAGAGAGGGAGAGAGAGAGAGAGAGAGGCGGGGTTATAATGTAACAATTTAGGTGCTACAGTGTAAACCAATAAAGTGTCCGCGGTGGCTGAGCGCATCTGTCGCCCCGCTCTCTCTCTCCTGTCGCCGCGGACGCAAAGACACCAGCCTCGGACATCAAATGACATTTGTAACGGAGGCGCCGCCAAAGGGGACGGGACTGATTCACGATACATTCATACGAGGTGCGTATTCTAAGCTGTGGTACAGTCAGATGTGAGAGGCAGCCGAGCACCGTGGATCCCTGCAAAGCCAGCTGGTGCACTGAGGAGAATTCTGGCTGGGATAGGGTTGAGTGATGGATGCAACAGGATTATTGTGCTCGAACAAGCGGAGGTTGACTCTGTCTCTGTAGCTTGTGGACCGAGGCGCCGGCCTGTTGCTAGGAGACCTTGTGACAGCTGGGGGATCTTTTTTGGAACGTGCCGGTCAATGCACTAACAGTGTTCTCCTCTGGCAACACAAACCTTCCTCCCACAGATCAGTCCCTCCTGCGCGTCGGCCGTGCGTAATTGTCTCGTGTGCGTAAAATTGAACCACTGTGGTTGTTTTCAGTCAGGAGATTACGATGTTTTGCAGGGAACAATGGCCTACTTGTGCTTATCAGACCCTAAATATATCCACCTTCCGGATATGTTTAATCTTTTTCTGAAGTGATGGAAAGTCTATCTATCTATCTATCTATCTATCTATCTATCTATCTATCTATCTATCTATCTATCTATCTATCTATCTATCTATACATCTATCAGTCTATACATCTATCTATCTATCTATCTATCTATCCATCTTTCTATACATCTATCAGGTATGGGACACGCAGCTGAATTATAAATATTTTATATCCCAAGTTGTCTTCCTGATGAGGTTTGTAAACATGATTGCAGTACACCTTCACATCATTAAACAGTATATGAAGTGTCTGCCACATGCCTTTGCGTTTGTTGGGGTTGGACTCCTTCTATCCATCATAAATCAGTAGCATTCGTCTGTGACCATGCGTCTGAAGGTCACTCATGAGCAGATCAATAACTACATCTTGCAGGGGTGGACTCCACTCAAAAGCAGCCTTTAGTACCCTCAGCCCTGCCTAAGATGAACCACATGCATGTAGGCTTTCTCCTGCAAAGTATCAATACCAGTAGACATGGGATGACATATTGTACAGTGAGTGAGAAGTGAGTAGTGTTTTGATCAGAGTATCCAGAGTGGCTTGCTGACCTCTGTTTGCCTCCAATGCTGCTTCATGGGTTTTATGTCACTGGAGGCTGTGGTATATCCGATTCAGGTGTGTTGCACATTATGTCAAGGTTGTAGCTACACCAGAAAGACTCGGTGTTATCCGGACTCCCAGCTTGTTTTTTGACAAGTGCTGAGCTTGTTTTTTCTCCTCTCTGAAGTCCTGCCGCCCGTGGCTGTCACTGTGCCTGTGCTTTACATGAAAAGGCCTTGAAAGAGCAGTGACAAAGAATAGTCAAAGTCAACACTAGTGTGGTGGAGAGAAGGGAGAAGTCAGCATTAGGCCTGACATGTGGTTGCATCCCCTTCACACATTGCACAGGAGGCTGTCACAGTGCCACTGGGTCAGTGGATGGACTGAGTAAAGCTGACGTGCTGTTCTGTCCTATCAGGCTGATGTATGTGCCCAGTGAGGAGACTGCAGTCCTCAGGAGCCACATACAGTAGCACCACCTCTTTCATCTCCTCTTTCTTTGTCTAGGGGGCATGTCTTCTGAACCCAGCCTCAATGGGTAGCATGGATTGAACAAAGATGCTCAAGGTTCAAAGAGAATAGAACTCTTAAAGTAATAACTGTATATGCATGGACATCTGCTGGCAAGGTGCCTCTTACTTGGCACAGAGAACACGTTTCCTTATTTGGACCAGAGGATGAAAACCTGATGTTCAGTAGAGGTGTTCCCAGTGTGCAGACTCTGGTAGCTTTCTCTAAAAATAGTCCTTTTTGTTTGTGGAGGTTAGACAAGGGAAAACCGCCCTGTAAGGAGAAAGTTGTGTCTTCTAAATTTGTGTTGTCTGCAAAAATGTCTTATTCCATTTCTCAAAAACTGTCTGTGCAGCTTGTCTGTGACTCTAATTCTCGAGCAAACTCATTCCACAAGACAAAAATGGAAAACAATATTATATTCATAATATGATTTTGTGGTTGACTCCTGATAAGCTACAGTATCCTCTTTCATAGCAAAGAGAGGAACATATTTCTCCCCTTTGAAGCTGATTTATTAGAATTTGAGTTGTTCTGGGAAAACATGGAGCTCTATGGCCCAGAAGAATATCAGGCTTTGGCTAAACAGTCAATATTTGTTACTTGGATGAATTCAGTTCATTATTGGTTTTCGTATTGTCTTGGGATTGGTTGACAGTAAGATAAATGTAGAAGTGCTAGTCAATAGAATGGACTCCATTGTTTATCTTTATAAAGCACCATGTGCAGGGTTTTAGAGATCCACCCCCAGTGGTATTACTAAGGGCACTATGCAGAACTGGAGACATAGGCAAAAAATATGCTATCTGTTGCATTATGGGAAATGTAATCTCTGTTATATTTGGGTGAGGGCATGCTAGTGGTAAATAATCGGACTATTTCTGCCTCTGCTGCTTCAAACTGTTTCATTAAATTAAAATATTGCATGACTGAGCATTTTAAAAGTGCACACAGCATCATAGTTTTCACCTTTTATCTTTATTTTCATATATATTTCAACATATTCATAATCATCATCATCATTCCATCCCTCGTTAAAGCCGTCCATTTTGTTCTTCTCTCCCTTCGGATCTCCCTCTATATGGCAGAGTCGAACAAACAAGCAAACAGCCTGACTCATCATTCATCCTACTGCTGGCCCATATCCCACACACGCACGCACGCACCACCACACACCCATTATTTCCTCTGTCTTACACACCATCACCATGACGGTGACAGAGCAGGCCTCCCTGCAGACAGCAGCATTTAGAGTGACGGCCTGGACTGTCAGTGGACAGAGATGGGCTTAGTTAGATAGGGTGGTGTGCTGCTGATGGATGAGTACAAGCAGAGAGGGACTGAGGATGGGTTTGGAAAAAATGTGGTTATATTTCCTGCAACATGGGTTCACAGCACCGTCAGTCAGTTGCTCAGTAAGTCAGCCACACTGTAGCAGATGGGTTCCATAGTCAGTTAGATTGTCTCATCCATTGTAAGGAATCTAACATGAGAACTGTGAGACACGTTCTAATGGGTACTAAAGTGCCAGGACAGAATGGAAATAGCATTCATGGCAAAAAGTAAAATATTAAAAAGTAAGAAAAACAAATCTTTCAGATTTCTCACGTCTACATCGTGTAGAAAAAGAAAATTACATGTTGCCACCCACTGCTCTCCCCATGTGATGCTAGCACTATGCACAAGTTTTACTGCTACAACAAAAACATATACTGTATATACTGAATGAATCTCATGGTTAATCAGACATCTTGCTTTGCATTGCCATTGTTTCATTGTAGTAATTTTTAAAACCTTCTTTGTATTAAAATATCACAACTAAAGTGTCAGCGAGACTAAGACAGCTTGCTGCTTTGTGTGGCTGTACTTGAGCACTGTGGTGTGTTATGAGCTAAATGCTCTGCTAATGGATGGGACATGGGCCAAAGTAATCAATTTTTTTCCCCAAAGTGGTCTCTGTCATTTTATGCACTTCTTATCAAATTGATGTTTGTTCAAGTGCTCATATTTCTGGTATATTTTGAAAACGGATTCGCAATTGGTCGAGCATGTGTGTTGTCAGGGCCATCAATATCCCGGCTTCCCAGATCACCACTGTGCAGACTTCAGCTCAAATACACAAGATGGCGGCACTTATATCTGGATATTCTGGCTTAATTTCTAGATATATTAGGAGGAAGTGGAGACGCGTCGTCCATCTTTATATATAGTCTATGGCTCTGTGTCAATGCTAACGTAACAATCCATACAGGTAATCAAAACCATTAAAAACCATAGATATCACTGGTTGGAGCCAGACAGAAAGTCAAGTGAGGATCAAAGTCATTACAATCGATCAATTCAAACCACAACTGATCATTTCAACTCCTCTGGGACAAATTTGACGGGAGAACTCTGATCTGCTGGTGACCCTACGGGCACCATGGTCATTTCATGGCAATTCATCCAGCAGTTGATTAGAACTTTCTGTGGACCGACCAACTTACATTGCCGTCAGTGCAGCCACGTAGCCATGTAGACGTCTATCCACTGTACTGTCGAAGCAGTGTGAGGAGTATACAGGAAATGCATCTATCTGCAGAAGGGATGTGTGTGTTAAAGGGTTAAATTACTGTTGTAGTCATAGTAGCAGCAGGAGTGTTATAGTAATAATGAAAGAAGCTTTGGTAGTAGTACTATAAGTAGTAGATGTTCCTATTGTTATGTAACATTATAATAGAGCTTATCCGAAAATCCAATTACAGTTCAACTACATATTCACTTCATGTGTGTGTGTGTGTGTGTGTGTGTGTGTGTGTGTGTGTGTGTGTGTGTGTGTGTGTGGGTAGCAGTAGGGAGATGCTGACAGGACAGAGGCTCTGCCACTCAAAGTCCCACCAGGACTTGGTCCTTTCCGCCCTCAACCAGCAGAGGAAGGACGGCCTGCTGTGTGATGTCACCCTGGTGGCCGGCGAGCAGAAGTTCCACGCCCACAAAGCCGTCCTGGCAGCATGCAGCGATTACTTCAGGGTGAGTCCTCGACCATGTTGCATAGCATGAACATATATAGCATTGATAGTGGAACAAACAGATCCTGTGGGTATTATTATAATATGAACATAAATATAAGTTGCTTTTGTTTTTTCTATGGACAATGGTTAGACTGATACAAAAGACTGTGCTCTTATCAAACAGATATTTGCCAGGTATCTATAAAAAGCATGTAACAGTCAGGCGGTGTAGCCCACTGCTGATGTGATAGAGGTGACAATGATACAGTGTGTTGTGTAACCATAGATGGTTAAACTTCCACAAAACCTGTCTCACTGGAGATTATTATTCACTGGGTCTCACAATGGTCTAAATGCTGCTTCAGGGTCCAAGAAAAATATTGAATAGAAACTCAGTTTTTGACTGCACATCCATGGGGTTTTCTTTGTAATGAAAATGGTTTGTTGAATATGAGGCTTAGGCAGTGTCAGTCTAAATTAAAACTCCCACAGATCATATTTCACAGGCCCACGTGGACCGAGCCCCAGTGTTTGCTTTTGTAAGCTCTCTCATCAAGGCTTGTGTCTGATTCCAGTTAAGCCTCAGAGGTGGTTATAGGTAGACTTGTGTTGACAGACAGCCAGACGGGAGATTTTCTGAGATGGGCCGCACACGGGGGAAAAGGGCCCAGATGAGATTTGATTCAGGGACACTGCGCAGATTAGAAAATTGCAATTAATCCCTCTTGAAAATGAGAGGCAGATTAAATATAAATTGACGAGGGATTACTCCTCCTGTGTGAACATTTGTGTTCGAGCTTATTTTTACTTGTCTGCAGAGAGTTAAGAGGTGGGCGATTCGCACTCCTCTCCTCTTTTGTTCGTCCTTGTCACTTTTCTTTTTGTTCTGTGGCCTCTGTTTAAAAAAGCAAAAGGCGCTCTTTCAAGTCCCAGTTCAGCCGAGTGACACTGTTGTTCCAGCAATCAAATTAGTAGATATCTCTTTGCAGTAAGCAAGAAAAACTCACTCCACTTTTCCCTTTCCTGTAGGGGCTTAACAACATTATCTCCGGTTTGTTATCTAACTGCACTGCTGGGGTTTATTTCATTCATTTGAGGAGATGAAGGTGCCTTGTGTGCGACTGTGTTTTCTCTCTCCCTCTGTGCCTCTGTCTTTCACACCCGCACGCACACGTAGCGGTGATTATAACACATTATCTTGCCCAGTGGACATGAGTGACTGTAATGAAATACCTGACCAAGCGTGAGCTGTTTACTTGTCCTGAAGGTGTCACCTGCCTCTTCCACTGCTGTCGCATTACTAAGATGTCTGGACAGCTCAGGAAGATACGGCCAAGTCACTCACACCGGCACCACACACCACCCTCAGCGAAAGTACACACAAACACACACACACAAACTTTGTCACACAGAGAGCCCTGCAGTCAGGACAGAACTCATATCAAAAGCTATTACTGTCTCAAAGAACCATTTCACCCACCCAGCACAACTCTGAACTCTGTTCTTGTTTTTACTTCTTTATGTCGACAGTGTATTTATTACGTTGATTGCACAGTATTTCTGTTGGGATGTAACAAAATACACTGACACACACATATTTCAGATATCTGGTCTTTACTTAAGACTCCACTACATATTTCAGCAAATATCTTTAATTTCTACACCACTACATTTTCACATTCTTTATCATATTTTTAAAAATACTGTAATCAGCAACAAGTAGGGGGATTGGTGCTTTGATCAAATCAGAGCGGGTAACGAAAACCACTAAAATGGTTTCAGAAGAGGCCACCACCAAGACACAGCCAAAATGTTGTGGTAAAATTTCACATTAGGGAAGTACTTTTACTTTTAATGCTTTAAGTATTTTTAAAAGCAAATACTAACTCACTTTTACTCAAGTAGAAAAGTTAATTTGATGCTTCCTTTACTTGACTACATTTGTCTATTTAATTTGACTTTTATGTAAAATGTTTGAGTGCTTCTTCCACAACTGTATTTAGGTTCGACCAAATAATTTACAGCTCGTAACTACCCTGCCCTCTACAGCTTGATTTGATCATTTGATCAACTTTACATCGATCACTTAATTGGACAGAGAGGACGACGGTCATTAGTGCTGTATTGCACTCCTCTGCTGCAGTGTAAGAAAAAAAAACCACTCAGTTGTAGTGTAACAAATCAACATTTATGGATTTATCTTTCAGATTGTGGCTACAAAAACAGGTTCTGGCACCTTTTAATGCAAACTTGGGTTTTCTTTGCAGTATATCTGAAATATTAGGGTGCCAGGAAAACTGCAGTGGGTTTGTATGTTGTATATCTACACTTACAGGACACACTATAATGCAGAATTAATGAAGAATACATTGGCTGTATATGAAAAGACCTGAGTCCTGTTCTCCAGACGTGGATAACTGAGCTAGCTTTGTTTAAGTCTTGGTGAACTCATCTGGAACCTCTTACTGATGTTCAGTTACATAGAGAGGAGAAATGGACTTCAGGCTTCCTATCATGGTGAAACTGTAAAAACAATGAGGCACACAATACAAAGAAAAACTTCATTAACAGTCAAACTAGTAGCACACTCCCCTTAAATTCAATCAAGCTGCTAAAATTACACACACTCATGCATATGAGTGTATGAGGCTTGAATTATTCTCTGAGAATATAAAGGAAAATGTTGAAGTACGCTTTATGTGAAAATGTTAAAGAAAGTGATCCACCCCTGATTGAATGGATTCTTCCTTTACACGTACCACACCCTATGCCATCATGTTTCATGGTTATCAGTCCAGTAGTCAAGAAACCATAACCTCCTTTGCAGAGGTCAGTCTCCTCCAGTTATATGACTAGTTATTAAGTTTTTCATTTTCTGCTTTGTTTTGCCTTTAATAAAAAAATATGGAATATTGTTCAGGATAACTTAAATTTGAGATGAACAAATCAATTTTCAAAAAACACTGGGTGAGAATGAACAAGATCAACCTGAATTAATTGAGCCATGTCTGACGAACAGGGAGGCTGAACTAATAAACATATTATATCATCAATAGCACTAATTGTGTCTTTATGTATTTCATGGTCTTGATGTGGGTTCACAGTTTTTTGTTTTTTATTAAACACCCTGAATTCTGGTAAATGTTGCCTTTTTCATGAGATGATAAGGAAAGAAGACTTAAAGCACTAGATTCCAACATTTTGCAGCTTTAATATAAACCCACTGGTATCTGTGCTTGTCTAGTGACCTTTAAAAAGTTTTCACGTAAGAAATTCTGTGAAATATCTCCCTGTTAATATATAGTAGATCTACGGGCCTGCAGAGAAATACTCATTTTTCACTCATATATAATGATATAAAACGGCCTCGCTGAATACTGTAATATTCCACTGGGTGTGTGAGGGAGTCATGAGTCCTCTCTGGTTTGATCACCCCAAGCAGACGCACATAAATCTAAAGCAGCTCGGGCTAACTGCAGCACTGCAGCATCATGTGAAAGCACTGCAGAGAGCTACCCGTTGTGTCTCTGCACTGGATCTATATCCCAAGTCAGAGGGGCGTCATCCGTCACCACCAGCGCTCCCTCAGCTCCTCCACCAAGGTCAAGATCGCTGATGCTGGAGGCGAACAGCTCTGCGGACACTCAGTGTGTCCTCCCTCAACCTCCCTTGTCACACACGCAAACACAAAAGGGGACATGCAAAGTGTGTAGGCATTTCCTCCATCACATACTCTCGGCTTTTTTTCTTTCTGCCTGTGTCTCCATCCAACTGTCTGCACTCTTGCTCACACTGACCACAGCTCAGCCACCATCACACCCCAGGTTTAGCCACAGGCCCTCCTGTGCTCAGTGGACCAGTGGATTTTTAATTGGCGCGCACAGGCCTCGGTTAAAACTCAGCATGGCCTTGAGTCGACCCTGTCTCACACATCACAATTGCCATCAGAGGGGGTCGGTGCCTCCTTGAGGTTCGTGTGTCCCATGAATCAGGGAGAATGGGATGAGGGTTTGCGATGAGTGAGTGTTGTTTTCGTGACAGAAAGATATGCTATGCTAACTGGCCGGCCCGGGGGGGGTTTGAAGCTTATAATGCAGTTATACACCAGTTTCACAGAAGAGAGTGCAGAGTGGCTGTGCTGCAAACTGTGATCACATAGATATGTGAAATTGGAATTTAGCTCTCTATCCCTGAGGCAAGGAATCTGTGGGGGAAAGAAATTGCCTACACCAGCTCCAGTTAGTTTTCAAAAGCTCTTTAAAGTGTCTCTTTGGCCGGTTACAATACAGATAAATAACAACTAGATCTTCATCACTGAGAGGACATGTAGTGGAGGTTTGCTTCATCTCTGAACAATCGTCCTCTCACTCTTCCTCTCGACTGCTGTGCTTTGTTGGTCGGCCCCGATCAATGGCATCCCTGACATCCCGTCATGTTGTGACATCAGTCAATAGCTTTGATTGGCAAACAGCCAGCTGTACTCAAGCACAGCAGGGCCAGACTGCAAACGCTGCGTCCGACCGCTGCTCTGAACATGACATGCACGTGTGTGTGTGTGTGTGACAGAAGGAGAGTAAGACAGAGAGGCTGTTACACAGAAAGTACTGATTGTGCTATTTATTATTGCTGACCTCCGGGGCAGAGGCAGATAAACGAATACAGAGGTGTTTCTGGGATGTTGTGTCTGGGAAGGTTTGATAAACGATGATGCTGTTTGTTCACATGGAAAACCAGTCCATCAGTACTGTAACAACTTGGAATAAAACATAAACAACCCTGCAGAATCAACATTGGAGAAACAAATCCGGATTGACTTTAGCATCAATACCCATGATTATTGTTTTTTTATTGAGTGTTTTGTTGCACAGTCCTAGTTTGTGGGGGGTTTTTAACCAAAGAGTGAAAATACCAGATCAAATATTCTGTCACGTGGTGCTCGCTGACCTCCACATATTGGATCTATGTGTCATCAGGCCATGTTCAGCTTGTGCATGGTGGAGAGTGAAGCGGACGAAGTGACCCTGCAAGGAGTGACCAACGTTGGACTGAAGCACGCTTTAGACTTCGCCTACACTGGACAGGTGAGCATGACAAAGAAAAGAGCATTGCCCACAGAAACTGTCATCTAAAGACAGTGTGAGGAAAATACATCATAGTAATTTTCACGCTTTAATTGGGAGGAGAAGATCAAAAACCACACACAGTATGAGCACTGATAAACGATTCAGACCCTTTACTTTGGTGAAAGGTGCAATACCACAAAATAAACACACTCTCTTGACAAAAATGAGATGTTAGAGCATTTACTTACTAACTTGACACCTCTTTCCAATATTTGTATAATAATGAAGAACAAGGTATCTGGTGTGACAGACATATAAACAATATAAACGTATGCTACTCATAAAAACGTGGATAAAAAGTCATGTTTGGACATTGGTCCATTGCATGCAAGTGACAAAAGTGGAACATTTGTTGCCAAGCTACTACTTAAAGCTGATTTAATACAATTAATAGAAATATGTTATTGGTTTTAAGTGATGATGAGCAACTCACATACCAAAATTTCCTCTGAATTTCGGAGCTGTTCTGACTTGAGATGACGCTCACGTGAATCTTCCCAGTCAGGAACTTATTTTCCGATTATTCCAACGCCACATGGACTTAGATCCAGTAGTTGCTTCACCACTGCCAAACGTGTCACCAAAATAAATCAGACCATGGATTTGACAGATTTGCCACGTTTAATCTCTGCAGCATTAGCCTCTGCTGCCGCATGCCTTTGGATCCTGTGTTGTATAGTGTACAGGTGCTCTACATTTTACTACTCTGGCCACTCCACTGTGTGCTGTGGTCATGCTGCTGACCTGGCACCTCAATAAGAAACAGCATTAGATTCAAGAAAAGGAGGAGTAAAGGCCACAGTATTTTACATCCATACTAAAGCAGCTGCTGTCATGTGAGTAAGGTCACAGCCTCTGCAGTGAGTGTGATTGTTTCCAATAACCTCCCTGGGTCTTTTTAGTGCCGGCAATGGCTGGTCCAATAAGCAGCCTAGCGGATTATGTACGGAGAGGCCAGGAACTTTGTAATTGCTCCTAATTTTATTTCCACAGTGGAAATGAGCAAAGAGTGAATCAGTTAGGCAGTGTAAGTAGGTCAACAGCAGGCTTGAAAGCCGCCCTGCTTTGGTTGGCTCAGCTCCTGTCTGCCCAGAGGAGATGATAGCAGATGAGATGAGGGCAATATGCTTATCCCCACGCCGTAAATAATGACCTACTAAAATCTTTCAGCCACATGTCACAGGCCAGTGACTGAGGAAACATGCAGTCAGAAGTCAAGTCTGTATCGTTAGACCACAGCAGAGATCTAAATCAATTAACACTAGGAACATACCCCACTGTTTCACTTTTATTACCAACAGACCTGGAATTTCTCAGACTTTAAATCCATTTTTTTTTCTAAGCTAAAAGAGTGAAGTAGAGTAAGTCATGGTTCAGATCCTGGGTGGCATCTTTATGTTCTGCCATATAAACGTCTACTTTCATCACGTCTAAGCAGCAGATACAATAAATGTGGGTTTACTCAAGAGCTCGCTATACTCCCACACTGGACCAGCCGCAGTGACTTGTGCTGTGTGAGGCTGAAGTGCTGGAGCTGGAGTGGGCCTGTGGAGAGGAGAGCATTCACTAACAATTATTAGTTAGAGTTTTTGGGTTTGCCTGTGCTGCTGATGCTCCCTGCCAGGATGCTGATTGAGTCAAAAAACTGTTATGTTCATCTAACAAAAGATTGATTCAAGTGGTTGCATAGATTGGAGGGTTTTCCCTTTAACTTAAAGGTCCAGTGTGTAAGATTTAGGTGAAAGGATCTATTGGCAGAAATTTAATGTAGAATAATCCTCATGATGTTTTCACTAGTTTGTTTCATCTAAATTGTATGAATTGTAGTTTTCTTTACCCCAGAAAAGGTCCTTTATATTTAAATACTTTATATTTACATGGAGGGGACCCTCTCTATGAAGACCGCCATGTTTTTTACATTAGTCCAGACTGGACAAACGAAACACCTTTTGAGTTTTTATGACAATTAAAGGCTACAGCAGTTTCTTTTTCATGTTTGGAAGGAGAGGGTGAGGTGTTGGGTGTTCAGCTGCAACATGCAACTTCAACACTAGATACCACAAAATTCTACACACTGAACCTTTAAGATAATTTGATATAATTGGTGATCAAAGATTGGAGTATTTCTTTTCTCACTTAAGTCTAATGCATCCTGAGGCGAAGGGCCACTCACAGCTGCTTTCCATCTCAATATGCAAAGCTTGTGAGAGCCCATAGATCGTGATGGTGGTTAACTGGACGTCTGCCCGTGCCTGACAGGAAACAACACTGTGATAAATTGGGTATGTGGGTATGTGTAGATCTGGCTAATTGCAGAGAAGGAGAGAAAAAAATATGTTTATCAGCAAAGATTGCTGGGAATTGCTCTAAGAGGCTGTCGCTCCTTGGGAAATATTTTACCATTCGAAACAAATTGCTTGATGACTTCAAATGAACGGTTTTACGTGAATGCCTAAGTGGTGAAACGACAGGTTTATTTATATGCAGCAAAGCATGTGCTCAAAACAAAAGCTGACGAAAATGTTTTCCAATTCAATACGTGGACAAACATGCACCAGAGGAAAGTAGTACATTTCTATTGAAACTGTTCTAGTGCGATGAAAAACACAAGCTGCTTATTCCTGTTTTAAGAGTGATAAATAATGAGAAGGCATTTCAGGCTAGACCATTTGTCTCACCTTCACTCCTGGCTCAGTCACAGCTCTGTGGTTATATAGGGCAGGGGGGGGCTTGTTCCTGCATTTTAACACCAAACTCAATTTCATTTGGATCAGGTGAGTCCACCGTGTGAGAGGTTACAAGTGGCAAGCCTGGTCTGATTGGGTTATTACCCCACTGACTAATGGAATATTTTACTCCATGTGGTCCTGATCCTGACAGATTAACCTCCATACAACTGGTATTACCTGGCTCTGCTCCCGAGAGCCCCGCAGTATTACTTGGCTGTGTTACAGAGCTTTATGATGCATGGGGCTGTGGGAATATGGGGGGGAACAGGAGGAAGCTTTCAGCAGATATAATTTTCTGCTCATCCAGCTCAGCAGGCAGCATTTTGGCAGATTCAATGCCGTAATAATTGTGTGACTGTGTCGCTTCGCTGAGAGGATGAAAATGGGGAATCGAGCACATCGATAGTGCAATCTTTTGGTTTGCTGTGCTGTCTGTCACACTCACTCTTCCTGTCCTCTACGGTGCAACATCATTTTTAAAATAACCTGGAATATAAACAGAATTTTTCAAACCATACCAACATTTTCAAAAAATGGAAATATATAGATAGTGTTTTTTTTTCCAAGATTGCACATATCTTTTTTCAGAATATGTCACTGAAAGTGTTTAATCCCCACCCCAACCGTTTTTAATTATTTTCTTTTACAATTTTCAAAAAATTACAGATATGTAATAATACTTCAATATACTTCATACTTACACATAGTGTATTGTGTTGTGTTATACTTAGGCAACTGTAACTGCTCACTTTGTCATTGAGCAGTTACAGCACTTGCCAATCAGAAATTGGTCCGCTCCACAATCCTAATTCACATTTACTGTCTAACGGCCAGTGCAACAATTGTTTTGTTCACAGTTTTCACTGTAAAACTTGATTTCTTTGAATCAGCATTGTTGTACTGAGTATACAGTTTTCCTCTCAAAGTGTCTGGTTCATCACTGGTAGAATAGATTTAATATATATATATATAAACAACAATAAATTATTTTCAGAAATCTATTTTACGAATCCTTTTGTTGTCTCTGAAAACTCCCTGCCCCACAGTGAAACTGAGTGTAATGAAACAGACACCTGGTGACCTGTTTTGTGTCCTATGGCCAGATTCTGCTGGAGCCGGCGGTGATCCAGGACGTCCTGTCGGCAGGCAGCCACCTGCAGTTACTGGAGCTCCTCAGCCTCTGCTCCCACTACCTCATCCAGGTACATACACATGCAGCCGTCCTGCATGAGCTGGCAACATCATAAGAGAACTACTTCACACCACAGGGTGACCATCACCATCAAATCATTCAGTATCATTGGGTTCTCAGCGGTCTGTTCCACTCAGGCACAGTCAGTAGATTTGATCCTGTCTTTTATTAAAATTGTTCTGCAAACAATAGAGCTGTATTCGTCAGGGCGTTGGTCTCTTAGTGGTAATTGAATGAAAAACTTGTTAAAGAACATTACATTGTACATTCTAAGTGTTTCTGTAATGTGAGTCAATGTAGTGTATGCTTGTAAAAACTCTAGATTATGATAGAAATCTGGTTCAGATTTCTCCTTTTACAACTGAGTTAACATCATGTTAACTAAGCTCTGCATATGATCCTCCTTTTGTAATTTCTGTATGAGAAACTGAGAAGAAAGAAATGATACTTCAGTAGAGGAGCAGCTCCATACTTTGGACACACACTTATTTAGCTTTTCTTGCTGGATTTTGACGACTGGACTCACCCTGTTAAGTAGAAATAGTTTGGCTTTTTAGAAACTAATGTAGTTGATTCTTGCTGTCCAGGGTTCATGGTTGATGCACTTATTGGAAGTGGCTTTGGATAAAAACACCAGCTAAATGATATGTATCATAATGTAAATATAAAGCTATATATACAGTAGTTAGCTTAGCATAGAACGACAACTAGATGCCAGGTAGCATGGCTCTGTCCAAAGTTAAATAAATCTCTTCCCCAGCACCTGTAAAACTTGATATTGAAATATATATATTGAAATACTATATGTATAAACAAGGGGGTGTTATATGCTATTGTTTATTTCTTAGCCAGCTGCACTCACATCTTGGAGGCTTTGTTTTTTAAATAAAAGATAGTATGATAATGGCTGAGCTGTAGGGCTGCTGAGAGGTGGATATGATTTATCTTTTGACAAAGCCGTGCGAGATGGTTTCCCCGTTTCCAGTTTCTCTCCGAGCTAATGTTGCTTCAAAGTTAGATGCCAAAACTAATTTGTGTAAAATAATTGCTCTCCAATCTGCAGCAATCTGTTGTTAAAGGTCTGTTGGTGTGTCCTCCCAGACAAGGAGGTCACAGGTCTGCGTTAGTTAGAGAACAGTTTCAGTGTATTGCTCAAGGACACTTCAGCAGTGTGGGTAATTGTTAGGTCAGGTGTGTGAGCTCCTTGAGATTGAGGACACACCACTGCTGGTAAATATGGTCAAAAGCTTCTGGAGATAAAAGCAAATCAGGCTGAGGTTGTTGCAGAATCACTCATTTTATACTCAGTTTGATATGTGTCAGTGGAAGCCATACACTTTGCAGTGGTTTTAGAATCACTTAATTAGACTCTATACTAATGATTACAGCTTGTGCATGGTTAGAGTGACCTTAGATCCCTGACACCTGACTCATTTACTTATTTATTTATTCTGTATTTTGTCATTGAAGTCCCTACAGTTTCTAGTTTCTAGTCTTATTTGTCAGAATTAGGGTTTATTGCCCAGTTTGTTTACACATGCAAATAATTTGCTGTGGTGTCTTTTGTCAAGCATGAATATAAAAATAAAAAAGAAACAATATAAAATATATGAATATTGTAAACACCAGAACAGGGATTGTGCATATGTGATGTAACACAGGGTCAACAGTACAATGTAAAGTGTTGGACGAGAAGAACAACAATATAATGCTTAAAGAGCATCGTCACAGGGATTTAATTAAGTAAATTTAATCAAGTTAACGAGGTTAATATAAAAAATCAAATACAATACTATATACATTAGATGATATAATTGTTAAAAACCAGTGAGAGTTACATCACAATGGTAAACCTTGCTCTAATGTGCCATCTGGTGGTCACAAAAACCTCATGCCTGTTGGTTTGTGTTGATCAGCAAATTATAAACAAGAACACACTGCTGAATAAGTCATGAGTTCTCTGCTTGGTCATCTCTTCAATCAGATTAACACTGCTCCTGCTCGAGTCACAAGTCAGGTCAGCTGACTGCTGGTGTCTGCTGTTTAGTTTGAGTAGATAATAGAAAGTAAGACCCCGACCAGTAACATCGATTTCCCAATACACACTGCAGCGTCTGATTGAAAAGGAGATACATCAGCTAGTCACGATCACCCACCTCCATCCTCCAGTATGATGGATGCTGATGTGCAGAGTTCTCCTCATTCGATACTGAAGAACGGATCAATACCACACTTGCACTGTGTATCACAAGAAGTCCTTTTTGCTGAGAGGATTCTAATGCAACATCATTCAAACATTTATTAACAGCCCTCATTGTCGTTTCCAAAATAAAGTACACTGCATACTTTTCCTGTAGCACAGCAGTTGCAGTAACATTTAGATTTTCAGTGCAACATAACCTCTTTAAATGGTGAGTGGATGAAAATGCACTTATTATCTACTCACCACTATGCTGATGGAGGTGTGGGTGAAGTGTTTAATTTCACAAAACCCTTCTGGAGTTTCAGGGGTAAACATTGCTGCAGCCAAATCCAATCCAATTGAAGTAACTGGGGACTCCTTCAAATGGAATCAAAATTTGACTCAAAACGGCGTGTTACACGTGTTTCGAGCCTAAATGTGGGCTACCGGAAGTAGCGATGCTACCGGGCGCATGCACTTGAGTGTGTGCAGTGTGTGCATGTGAACATGAACGTGGCTCCAGAGGAGGATACCAGAGGACTTAAAACATGGTGTGAATGACGCTGTTTACTTGGATGACTTCACAGGAGCAGTATGGAGGCATTTTGTCTGTTGTTTTTTTTACATTAGGAAGAATTGACCACAGTTGTTGTGATTGTATTGGATTTGGCTGCAACACTGTTTACCCCTAAAACTCCAAAAGTGTTTTGTGGACTCAAACACTCAATCTGCACAGTGGTGAGTAGATAATGAGAGAGTTGACATTTTCGGTGAACTATCCCTTTAAGTTGAATGGTAACAAAGGGAAGGTACTCACTGATCCATGTTTGCAATCTATGTGCAGAAGGACTGCCAGAAGATGGCAGTGTTATTCCACTAGTCAGACCTCAGACCCCCACTCTCTGCTTCCTCCTTTGAAATCTGTGATGCTGTCAATCAACCACAGCCATGAAATCAGCTCATATACAGTATACATACATATATATATATAGTGTAAATGTTGCATAGATGAGATATTCTTATAGGATCAAGTCTACAGTAAATCAAAGACTAAGTCACTAGGTGTGAAATATTGCCTAAGGGTTATAGTTTGCCTAAAGGAGCCTCCCAGCAAATTTGAAATATTTATGATATCGTTTTTTGCTGCTTGTAAGTACTGAGAGAGAATTTAAACTGAAAAAAACAAACATTTGAAGTGAAAGAATAAAGTGTTTGTCCACACACAATGGAAACGGTTTAGGTCATTCAGATTGGTTTAGTGGTATATGTGGTTTTAACAGTATAATTTTCTTAATTGGGATTTCAGGTGTATTTGCCAGGCTGCTACCTTTATAGTGAACCTTATTTCCTTAGCAGCCTCAGTGTATTTTGACATGATGTGGTCTGACAGCTGTCTACGTATCCTTTCAACTTATGCAAATGGTGAAGACGTGCTATCCACATGTATGTTTATTCATATGTGTTCCTCCTGCAGGAACTGAGCAGTGTGAACTACCTGGAGCTGTACCGCGTGGCTGACCTGTTTCACCTCCCGGCCTTGGAGGAGGCCGTGGTGGGCTTCCTGGTGGAACATCTGTCTGAACTGAGCCAGAACCGGCAGGACGAGGCCCTGCAGCTGCCTTACCGCCTCCTCAGGGAGGTGCTGAAGAGTGACCGCCTCACCTCCCTGAGTGAGGAGGAGATATGGAAGGTACTGGGAGTGTGTGTGTGTGTGTGTGGTCCAGGTATTACTCATGTTGTGAGGACCCACATTGGTTAACATTGTCACATTATTATTTTTATTATACTTGTCAAGTCCTCATAACATACCTCATTAGATTTTAAGTATCATTTCATGTGTTAAGAGTAGGTTTAGGTTAGTGTTGTAACTATGGTTAAGGTCAGAGTAAATCTCCAGGAAATCAATGTCAGTCAATGTAATGTCCTCTGAAGTCATGATAACACAACTCCATGTGTGTGTATGTGTGGTCACAGGATTTCATTGGGGAGATGCAGTATTAATGTTTAGTGCTGAGGCAATTCTGATTAAAAATAAACTGGGAAATCATCTCTGCTTAAACACACACACACACACACACACACACACACACACACACACACACACACACTAATGCATAGCCACAACATAAAGCTAGCACAGGCTGATAAACAATCATATACTGTTTGTTTACATGAGCGAGGGAAAGCAACATGAAGGACTATTTCTTACTGTGTGCCCACATGTGTGATAGACTAGTAATCCATGCATCAATGTTTGTGTGTGTGTGTGTGTGTGTGTGTGTGTGTGTGTGTGTGTGCATGTGTGATGAACTGGCGGGGATTGCGGAGTGAAGCAGGCAGTGCAAGTTGGGAACTTGCCGTTTTGACTGTTCATTTGCACCAATCAGCCTCCCATCCTCCCACCGCCCCACTCACCCCCTCAGATCTCTCTCTCTCTCTCTTCTCCCCTTCTCTTCTCTGATTAGGCCCACCGCGGCTCCATCAGGGCCCCAATCCCCCAGCTGTCACTCGGCCGCCCGTCTGATTGAAAACAATCAGGCCTCTGATGGCACAATTACCCTGACCCTTTAGCCAGCCGCCGCTGCCATAATCAGCCTCTGATTAGGCTGCTTTGGGCCTCCTTCACTTCGCCCAGAAGGTTAATTTGGGCATCAGACGGAAGCGAACGGCGAAGTAGGGGCTGTCGTTCCAAAGAGTTAGGGGGGTGCGTGGCATGGTTGGGGGGTACGCACACCAACACAGGACAGATATAGCTTGGCCGTCAATCATTGTCACTCAGAGTTTTCTTAGGGTCTCTCACGCTCTGGAAATCACATTTTCCTTGGCTTTGTTTTTTTGGGAGCTGTTTTTTTTCTACTCTCTCTTCTTTCTTGCCATCCTTTGCTCTGTCTCTTTGTAGCTTCCCCCCTCCTTTTACGTTTCTCCCTCACTATCTCTTTCCCTCACTCTCTCATTTTCAGACGCACACACACACACACACACACACACTATCCCACTTTGTCTTTCAGTGAGGAGGGGAAGGAGGGAGAAGGAGTTGATTTATTCTGTGCCCTGAGGAAGTTGTGTGATGCAGCGTGACCTTCACAGTCAGCTGCCGTAGTGCACATGCACGCACACACACACACACACACACACACAGACACAAACGCACACACTGTCACTTCAGAGCCATGAGGAGAGAGAGGCGGGTGAACGATAAAGAAACAGAGGTAGAGACAGGAGAGTGGCACAGATACCACAAAAAGACAATCCTGACTTGCATGTTTGTTGCATATGCACAATGTTAGAGTGGATTAAAGAGGGAATAAAGGTACGGCAGTTTGGTTTGGATAAGACAACATATACACACATGGTATTCGTGCATACATCATACACCAACTGCTGTTTGTGTTGTAATCCTGTGAGTGAATCCAAATGTTTGTGCGACCGTGGTCATCCTTGTTGATCTCCACTGAATCCATAACTCGCCCTTTTTCCACAATTCTTGGTTCTCAGTCTCTGCACTGATTGTGTGAAAAAACACTTTGTTTTTCTGATAATGGCATCAGTGATCCCCAGTCATCTCGCCCACATTCACACCTCGTTGCAGCTAAATAACCTTGCACTGCGCTCAAGTTCAATTAAATCCCCTCTCTGGAAGCCAGTTTGTCTGCATTAAACAGAGGATGCCTGTGGATATTTACAGTTTGTATATTGAATGCTGCTGATTAATAAGCGTGTGCGTGTGTGTGTGAGAGATGCTGCGGTAGCCTTCCTCAGCCTTGCCATCGTGACCTATAGGTGTCTAGAAAGACAATTATGATTATCAGTCCTTCACTTCTTTTGTTTTCCACCTTCTCGCTCATTCCTCTAATCTTTTATTCTTTTAATTACTGACTCCAAGCTGTTTCTTTTTTCCCTTTCCTTTCCTCTCCTTTCATGCCCTTTATTCCTTCCTCCCTCTCTCTGTTCTTAACTTCCTTTCATTTTCCCTCTGTTTAAGGGACTGTATGAAAATTATTGGGACAAGGAACCAGCTGATATAGCTGATATTTTTTGTATTTATAAAAAAAACGCAAGACAATCCTCAGTTATATATATTTTTTCCACCTATCCCCACATTAAAAAAACTATAACATGTTATGATAACACAACAACTGTACTGATTGATTAATTTACCGGTATAAATAAAGGAGGTAAAGTTTGATGGAATTCTTTGTTTGACATCCACAAATTCTCAAATTTAATTTTGACGCAGAAAATTTAAGGAAAACGACGAAAATGTAAATTTCTTGTTGTTAATGAAATGGTCATTCTTAACTTAAATTATGTTATAGACTTACTATGTAAGAGCGTTATCCCCTCTCCATTGTATAGACTGTTGGAACAGTCAAGTGTAATTGTTCTTTCTTTTTGTCTCTGCCTCTAGCTGGTCGTTCTGTGGTTGGAACATGACTGCCGCTACCAGTACACTGAGGATCTTCTACAACATGTCCGCTATGGCCTGATGGACGTCCCCACCCTGCACCACCTTGCTCACAGCCACCCTCTGGTCCAATCCAGCCCTACTGCTGCCGCCCTGGTGGAAGAGGCCATGGACTATCACCATGCCAGCTTTGCCCAGCCTCTGCGCCAGTCAGCCCGCACCAGGCCTCGCTTCCAGTCGCTCACCCTCTACATAGCTGGCGGGCGGAAGCGGGAGGTGAGCAGAGTCAGGGAGCTGCGGTACTTCAACCCAGCTGTGCAAGAGCATGTACGTGTTGCAGGCGGGTCGAACTGGAGCGAGCTGGCACCAATGCCCACTGGCCGCAGCCACCACTGCGTGGCTGTTATGGGGAACTTCTTATTTGTTGTGGGTGGTGAGGTGGAGCATGCCACCGGGAGGACGTGTGCAGTGAGGACTGCCTGTAGGTACGACCCCAGGGGCAACCGGTGGACTGAGATAGCCCCCATGAAGGCCTGCAGAGAGCACTTTGTCCTTGGAGCTCTGGGTCAGTACTTGTATGCAGTTGGGGGCAGGAACGAGCTGCGCCAGGTGCTGCCCTCTGTGGAGCGCTACTGTCCCAAGAAGAACAAATGGATGTTTGTCCAACCCTTTGACCGTTCACTGTCCTGCCACGCTGGCTGTGTGGCTGACAGCCTGCTCTGGATCTCAGGTACATGATGAAGGGAAGAGGGACTCCAGTGATACATAATTCTACACATACCTGTACATACACATGTAAGACGTCACTCAGTAGTGCTCATACCTCTGCCCAGGCCCAACAGTTAGTTATGATACTACATTTAAATTCATCAGATCCAGATTTATATCTGGATTTATATCTGGATCTGCACAAAATTACACACACGCATAAATAACTGTCCCCTTAACTTGTCACATTTTCTTTATTAACATCTATGAATTATTCTCTGAGAAATAAAAGGTAATTGTTTAAAAACGTCCTATCCCACAATGTTAAAGACATCAAAAATAAATCCTGGATCTGCCCCCTGATCCGGATCAACATCAAAAACATAAGAGTTCTTCCTCGGGTAATTCCCCACCCCTCCACAATAATTCATGTAAGTTGGTTGAGTAGTTTTTGCGTCATCCTGCTAACAAACAAACATACCCAGACGAAAACATTACCCCCGTGGCAGAGGTGTAGAACACTGCTTCATGCATATTTGTATTACTTAAAGCCCAGACTGCTGCTCCTCTGTGTTTCAGGTGGGGTGACAAACACAGCTCAGTACCAGAATCGACTAATGGTGTATGATCCAGAGCAGGTAACAACAAAGTTGACACCAAAGTTCAAAGTTCAAGTACTATTAAAGTAAATACTAAATAAAGTAATTTTGTTATTTTAACAAAATGAACTTTAGCAGCACGAAATCTATTAACAACAACCTCTTAGTGACAAAACATGATACATTTCTTTCCAACACTCCATGTAACTGTTACTCCATTCATTATTTCTGCTGCTGCCGTCTCTGTCTACCTACAGTGCACAGTGAGCAGTATCATGTCTTACTGTCTTACTCTCCGGTATTTTTCCACTGTAAACATTTTATGGGGGAGTGTGTCTTTCAGACTGTATTGTCCTCTGAGACACATTTGCAATATTGGCCTGTGTGTATAGATATAATTGAGTTTACAGTTTATGTTTAGTGTGCTCGGATTTCTGTCAGAGTAATATTTCTGTTGTGAGGTTTAAATCTACACTTAAGCTACATCAGTGTAACAACAGCGTCTTTTTTCAGAACATGACTGCAGACCTTGTGTTTACTGTGATGGATTACACAACAGGCCGGGGTGTGCTAATTGATTTTCACACCATATGGGAAATAATTGAAACCAAAGGCACCCAGGAAAATACGAAAACTAGATTCACTTTTTTGAAACTCTGCATCTTATACTTTAGAGCTGTGCATAATTTTTCATGCTTACCGCTGCTGCTGCTCCTTAAATGCAAATTCTTCCATAAGTTATGACCTTTGATCCTAACTAAAAGTGAACAATGATAGAGACATACCTTTAGTTTGTCTTTCGGTGCATCAGGGATGCATTTATATCATTTATGTAATTCCCACACACAGCTCACCACAGTGGAATGTGTTAAGCTGCAGATTCTGTTTGTGTGTATGTTATGAGGCAGCTGTTGAAGAGGCCTGGATCTAGGTGAGGCTGTATATAGTATGGAGGTATGCGGAGAGTGTATAAGTGTAAGGTGCATATCCATATGGGTCTGTTTGTACGTGTCGACGTTAGAAGCCAAGCAGCGAGTGAAAAGGAGAGGGAGAGAGTCTCATTTGTATTCACCATGAATCTACATTCACCTGCCAGAGCAACAGCAACCCCCCACCCACTCTACCCTCAACAGATGGCCACCCGTCAGCTCCCAGCACACACACACACACACACACACACACACACACTCATTCTCTGCCTCAATCAAGCACTCACACACACACACACACTCACACTCACTGACACAAAATAAGCTTCAGCACACTTAGTGAAATGAGCAGGGATCCTCGGTGTAAAATGGAGTGGCTGAAACATATGATTAGAAATAGGGAGGGAAGTCATTAGTACAAACCAGCGCTCTAGTGTCACGTTATTTATCTAGCACTGAGCATACATCAATTACCCATGCATGGATATGCTTAAATATTAATCTTCTTATTCATCCTCCTTCTCTTCCCACCCTCTCTCTCCCCTCCCTCCCTCTTCGCACTATGTCTCACCTCCATCTCCTCTGCATCGCATCATTTTCTCCCTTCTTTTCCTTTCTTCGCTTCCATCTGCTTTAACCACCGCATCCTCTCTCCTCCACCTCCTCCCCAGGACCAATGGTTGGCCCGCAGTCCCATGCTGCAGAGGCGAGTTTACCACGTCATGGCGGCAGTGAGGAGGCAGCTCTACGTGCTCGGCGGTAACGACCTGGACTACAACAACGACCGCATCCTCGTCCGCCACATCGACTCTTACAACATGGACCTGGACCAGTGGACTCGCTGCTCCTTCAGCCTCCTCACGGGTGGGCGCAGTGAAGTGAACCTCACATGTGAACACGCACCTGAAATTCTCACACAGATGATTTCATTATGCACATTCTTCCTGAGAGTGTGATGAGAAGATTGACACTCTCATGTGTGAGCACTTAATATGAAGCTAGAGTCTGGAGACCATTAGCTTCACTTAGCATAAACACTGGGGACAGAGGGAAACAGCTAAACTGTCTCTGTCCACATGCTGGTTTGTTTGGCACCTTCCCCAAGAAACAGTCGCAGACATTATTTTATAACAGTAAACAGGAAAATGGTATCAATCGTTTTTACATTAAACCCTTAAATTCCCATTCTTAACTTGTATGTGAAAGAGGCTGCTTGTAGTGACAAACCCCAAGAATTATTACCTGCAGCTTTGCTCAACTAGACAAGAGAAGGAACTCTGGCACAGTTTCCCCTTTGCTCATTTCCTTAATGATGTTTTTTTCATTATTCTCATAGAAGTAAAACTGTATTCTTGTAAAAGGACCTCTTTGTTATAATACTAGTTTCATTGCAATTAACACTTGTACATGTAGTCTTGTAAAATTTAGATTTTTTTCTCGTAACATTGACTTTCGTCTCATAATATTACAAGTTTCTTGTCAATTACGACTTTATTCTTGTAATATTATGTCTTTATTCTTTTGGTACCAATTCTTTTTCATAGATATTATTTATAAGGCATTATTTCTTCAATGTTGAAAAAAGTGAAAATTGTGAAATCCCTTTATCCTTATCCACAATAAAATATAGTGCGTTCTCCCTTGGCCCATACCTCACCCTCTACCAGGGTACCATAACATTGGTTCAGTAATCTTCTGAATAATCCTGTTTACAGAACCAACAGCAATGAAAACATGATCTCCTTGATGGAGGTAATAAAAACACAGTCCGTCCATCTGCATGGAGCCTAGGCACTGTAGACAATCCATGCCTATACTGTGGGATGTGATCATAATGAATATTTGTTATATTACACTGCTATAATGTTTAATAAAGACTCCCAGGGGTTCAGGTGACCTTACATTCCTCCTGTTGTATCTGTAAAAGTTTGATACAAGGTCACAGGAAAGGGAGCAGCAGCTCAATCTTAACTCGCCCCATCTTTCTCTATTTATCTCCCTCTCTGCCTCCTGGGGGACGTGGAAGTCATATTGTCAGAATGCCCTCTGCTCGGCACAGTGAAGCATTGTGTCTGCTCTGTCCTCCTCAGGTCAGAATGAGTCAGGTATCGCCGTCCATGATGACAGGATCTATGTGGTTGGAGGGTACTCCATTTGGACCAACGAGCCTCTGGCGTGCATCCAGGTAAGAGATGATGCTTTTGGATTTACCTTCACGACTGTCGCAATACTTCAGAATGATCAGACGCTGTGTGATATGAATACGTGTCATTCTAATGCTGCCCAACAGCAGTAGGGAAATTATGAATAGCGATGAGTCAAGAACCAGACAGAGGGAAAAGGTATCCATCAGCTTGATTTTACCCTAAAGTCAGCAGAGCAGCACTGAACATGAGTAAGTGTCAGACAATGTTGATATGTTTTTTTGTAATGTGAATAACTGTTGCATTGTATTACAAGGTAAACATATAGCTTGTTTCAGACAAGGGCGGCTGTGGCCTGCCGAAGGGTCCTTGGGCCAGATGCTGAATGGCCCCTCATAGAAAAAAGTGCTGCCCATGAATGTGTGTGAATGGGTGAATGGCAATAAACTGTACTGTAAAGTGCTTGTGGTGCTAATTAAATACTTACCATTTACAATGTGATAATGTATGACCAGATTACTACCTAATAGTTTGTCATTGTCAAATAATATTACTGTGCAAATAAATGCTGGTTTTAAATATTGATAACTACGTCAAGATATTTATTTGAATAATCAAAAGTAACTCCAATTCTAATTGTAAAATAAATTTGTGCTGTAGTCACATTTCCAGAGTTCAGTTGTTGAATGTGGACAGAGACATGGACACTTTAAACATAATGTGTATATTTATATGTTTACCTCGACACTTTTTTTCCAATATTTGCTGATTAACTTAGAGCAAAGAAAAAGCATCAGCTGTGACAGGCATATAAATATATAGAAAATGTCTGTACTGGCTGTAAAGTGTAGTGGTAGGTGCTTGTGAGAGATGGACAGTTTGGAAGAGACAAAAGTTACTTTTCATTACTCAAAGCTACAATGTGAAGCTGATTGTAAAATCATATTCATTGATTTTTAAGTGACGACATCAGTAACTTGGCAACCAACATTTTTGCAGACTCTCCGAGTTGTTGTTCCGACTTAAGATGCTGATTTTGCCAGGCAGGAAATCATTTTTGTGATTATCCCGACAACACATGAACGCACAATCTGTATTGATGAATTTGCACTGGAACCATGACAACTGCTCTTTACTAGAAAAATAGGAAAGAATAATAGTGTACAATAACGTTAGTACCTGGTTTAACTAAATATTTAAATCTGTGAATAAAGTGCAGTTACATTACACAGTCAGGTTTTTATCCTGCACGTGTACTCCAGCTTTTCCCTGCATTATATTCAGAGGGATTGCTAACACACAAAATGTGAGCCTGCTAACATAAGAAACTAAGAAAATACAAAGTGCAGCTGAGGCTGATGGGAGGTGTAGTTTAATTAACCAAAGAATTGGACAAGCTGAATTTTTGACCTGATAATGGCACTAGATGAGAATTCAAGGGATCACAATATCCCATTAGCATCTCATGCAGAATTACAGTTGGATAGACTATAGTGGTATAGTCAGTTAGTCACCAGTGTGATTGGGGGACATCTTTGGGGGACCACATCAGTGCAAAACCTCATGGTAATCCAGCTCGTAGTTTTGGGTAGTGGTCAACTGAATTACCATTGGACCAACATTTCCACAGCAACACAACATGGCCAAAAATTATTGTTGTTACAGAAACCACTGCCATATTTATGACCAATTTGCTTTTTGTGAGGAGAACCTTGTATTTTTATATACGTATCCTATTTCCAGGTGCTGGATCTGAGCACAGAGGGGAAGGAGGAGGTTTTCTACGGGCCAACGTTACCATTTGCCTCCAACGGTATAGCAGCTTGTTTCCTCCCTGCCCCTTACTTCACCTGTCCAAACCTACAGACTTTACAAGTCCCCCATCACAGAATCGGTGCTGTTTAAACCCCTGAGGAACAAAAGTGTCTCTGAACACGAACACAATATTTTGAGGACGGAGGAGCCTCAGCTCAACTCTGGAAAAGTCAGTATTTGCAAATGGAACCAAAATGTACCCGATCGCAGTATTCATGGAACCTGCCACCTCTGTCATCTGAGTGCATTGGGATTTCTTTTAGATCCAAATGTAATAACATGACTTTCCTGATCCACCAGAGCCATGCCATCTCGCAGGACTCTGGGAAACTCAGACACAAGGAGCTGTCACAATAATGTAACATTACGGCTGTATTTCCCCAAAGACAGACGCCGTTTGTAATGTCCAGTGAAGATGCAATGAAAAATAACTCCAGAGGGATTTTAACTCCCCATGAAGACAGGAACAAAATGCTGATCCTTTTACTAATTAAGTGACTTGAGGTGAATTGCTGATTTTTTAAAATAGAGCTGTAGGAGCTTTTCTATCTAAAATAACACAGCCATCAAACCACTATAATCACCTTGATGGCTTGAAAAACATGTGCTGCATTGTTTTTCAAGATACAGAGGAGGAGTCCTGTTTTCTCTTCAACTCACATGTACTTTTACAGACGGGATTAACAAGTATCAAGCGCCTGGGGTTGAAGCTCACCAGTGCATAAATGACCATGTAAAGTTTTAGTTCAAATAAAGTAAAAAAAAAGATGAATTGATTTGTTTCTGCAACAGCAGTGACAAACTACTGTGAATGTGTGTGTGTGTGTGTGTGTGATGAACCAGTGTAAGTGAGTGTGAGATTTTTATTATGCTCAGGACCTCAGACTGTTTATGTTCAAAAGAATGTCTTGTCATTGTCCTTATTCAGAGAACAGTCTCCAGACAACATTGCATTATGCTGATTTTCAAAAACATGCTTTGGCCAAGAGAGAAAACATGATCCCTGCACTTCCCCCCCGTATGTCCAAAACAATGTGTCTGGAAAGGTTTCAGAATAAAGATGCTCCATGATTAAATCGTGCTGGGGTTTATTTTATGAAAACTCTTAGTAACTGTGACCAAAAAAAGGGAAGTGAATATAGTCTTCTGTGAGAATGATTTAGTAGCAGTAGATAATAGAGCACTAATTTAAAGGCTCTGCTGCCTACATCCCTGTTTGAATTCTCCAACCACCTCCGACCAGGAATGCAGCGCAGCGGAAAAGCTGCTCAGATGAAGGGATGCGCCGCAGTTTGATGAGGCTGGAAAATGTCTAGCAATGACATGAAATGGGACTTGGTGATTGTGGGAGACAAAAGTGAGACTTCATGTGATTAGGTGTTAACTAAAGTTGGATTGCTAGAGATTGCTGCGACTTGGAAAGGCGGGAGAGAATTGGAACAAACAGTTCTCTCCTGTGCTCGCTCATTTTTTTCCCTTCTCTTTTTTGCTGCTGAACTCTGGGCTCGCCCACGACTGTCATCAAATCTGTAATTCACAGCGCCAAGCGAGCAGAAACAGATCCAGCACTTTATGGCAGAAGCACAAATAGTCGCTTCAATGCTCACGTTCCTCACTTCTCTAAAGGGATGAAAAGGTATATTCAGGGAGGAGCACATTCATATTTATTGTCACATTTTATTTTGTTAATAATACATCCGTCCAAATACAGAGCTGCATGTTCTTTACAATACGTACATATATACAACCTGGTGATGTCAGACTCATGCATTAGGAGCTGTCAAAGTCCAATTGGTACAACTTGTTCTGCCTCACAGCTGCATGTGTATGTGCTGCTTCACTTCATCAGTAGCTTGAGTTTTAATTATCACAGTAATGGGACGCTCTTCGATTTTGTAGGATACTCTGGTGAGCAACCTTCTTGGAGCTGGTGCCAAGTCCTGGACTTTTTTCAGTCAACTTCCAAACTGCTTATTTCAACCTGCCCACTCTCCCCAAGGAGCGACAGCAACTTCCTATACGCAGTCCTGTTACACAGAGAGATGGGGGAGTCACGTTAGTGGATACATTCAATAAAGCACACAGCTATATAATGATTCTAATTCAGTACAGAGCGGAGGTTCACTGTCTAGACGAGTTAAAAATAGTTTAAGGCGATGAATCCTGTCTACGTGGCCTCCAGGATATATGATTCATACAGTTGCTCACCTCAAGGCCATGTTCTTGCCCAGGCCTCTCTTGTGCTCAGTGTTTCTCAGACTGAGAGACAGGTTGGGAATGAGAGCTTGGACCACAGAGGGATCTAAAACAGCCACTGTCTCCAGGGTACCGTACACCTGCCGGTCATAGACTCCCTCATTCTCCTCCACAAATGATCTGGCAGTATCGGGACGACACAGACAGTCAGGCCATGAAGGACAGAACCGGTTGGAATGTAAGATAGGCAGTTTATGTCACAGTCCTTGGATGGTGTTTCCTTAGTCTCAAAATTCACTTGAGTGCAAAACCATACTCGCAAGGGAATTAAAATCCCTCCGGAGCCTTTCTACCCTGTAAGCACGCAGAACAGTGTCCACGAGTGAAAGGCACACTGGTGAGCATTTCTGCTCCACATGCACAACTGCAATTCCGCTAACGGGGCTAAGATGAGCGCAAACTCACTCTTCCTTACGGGGTCGCAACTGCTCCAGTCCACACTGTCTGGCTGATGGTGACTTTGAACAACGCAGTCCCCAGCCTCGCTCTTATATTCGAACCCCTTCTTGGCGGCAGAATCATCAAAAAAAGCAAAAAAAGAGGCACATTGAGCCAGCTACTTTTATAATGCCCTTAAGACAAGTTAATAGTCTGTAACGTGCACTTTTTACGTCGACAGAAGTGGTTTATAGTTAACAAAGTTAACATTTGCTACAGAAAATGAAGGGGAATGGAGCTAGGAGATCAGAGATGGGCTGGGGACGTCCCCGCCTCCAGAATCTCAACCATCAACTTGATGAGCGAGCAACTGTCGGGTGGTGTTGAGCTGTTGCAAGTGCAGAAGGGCGAGTTTGCGCTCCTCTCAAGAACTACAGTTGTGCACGTGGAACAGAAGCACTCACCTGCGAACACAGTCTTGCATGTTTGTAGATTTTGAGACTAAATAAACACCTTATTGTTGCTTCCCGTGAGCAACACATACAAGTATAGTTATATATTGCAGTCCAACATTTTCTCTGCATTATTGTCAGTTACCGTAAGACAGCGATCATCTGGTCACATGGTCCCTCTGTAGATGCTGCAGCACATCGCTCCACCACAAGCTGTAAAGCATCTGTGCTTATCTTCCTCACTGCACAGAAACAACATGCACTGATGTCATGAAAAGGTCCTTCACTGATCACTATTCACACTTCCCTGTCATTTATGCCTGAATTAGCACAGGTGAAATTTGTAAGCATTAACGTCAGTGTTTTTAACTTTTCACTAGTAAACACAATCACATGTAAGTGAAGTAGATTCACAAGAAAAAACTTTGAGTCATGAGTCATCACCACATCACAGAAAACTTCAGGTTATTACCTCCACCGATGATGTTATGTGTTTATCTCATCTGCATTTAGCAGAATTACACAAATACTACAGAACGGATTATCACGACAGATCCTGGTGCAGCTCCAGATCAGGGGGCAGAGCCATGATGTTTTTTTTTTACTTTCTTTAACATTCCTTCGATTCTCAGAGAATAATGTGGGAATCTTGATGAAAACCTCAAACACATTTAGGGGGTTGGCATCGATGAGTGTGGATGTTTTGGTGTGGATCAAATAAAGGGACTGTTGGGCTCAACTGAGTGACATTCTAGTGTTTTCACTACTGTGTGTCTTTATGTATTACAACAATTAAACTGACTACAGAACAATTTTCTTGAAACTTGGTGGAAGAGTGGTGTAAGGACCAAGGAAGAACTCTTTTGGAGCAGATTCAATAAAGGGGGCGGAACATGTGACACAGGGTGTTTTTCAACATTTTTGTGGCTTTCTCAAGAATTAATAGATTCATTTTTATAAAAAACCATGCATATGTAGAGTTTAATGTTTATGAACTGTAAGCAGTTTTCATATGTATGTGTCAAATGTATCTAATCTCAATGTATTTGCAACATGGTGATAAAGTGGCCAATTAGGTAGGTGGAGGTAAGTGCTCTCTGGGTGTCCTTCTAGTTCACTGAAATGTTTTCCTTTCAGTAACTCACATCAATGTCACCTGTATAACATAATTAGAAGGGTCAGTACATAATGTCTCTCCCTTAAAACAGCTGGCAGCATGGCATGAAATGAGTGAGGTAGGTGTTTTGGTGATAACACAAAGTTAGTTCAACTTTTTCAATGCATTCATAGTGTAACTAGTATATTTTGGCTTAATTGCCAATAGAAATACAGACATTGTAAACACCCAAAACACACACACATACACACCATACCAATTAGCTTGCTAAAGCTAAGTTATCTAAGCTCTCTATGACCCTAGTAGCAGCACACACATTTTTGTATTTGGGTTTCTAGCCTCCCCTATGGCCAACACCACAGTTTTCCCAAGCTGTTGGAAATGCTGGTCGGCCGCTCTCAAGACAGCCAGGGCTAAACCGTGCCTGAGGAGCACAGTGTTCCTGAGCCGTACGAGCCACTGGCACAGGCTCTGCCAGCAGTTCAAACAGTGTGTGTGTGAGAAAGAGACAGCCAAGGAGCAAGAGGGGATGGGGGGGCTTCTCTAAATGCCAGATGATGTGGTGGTATCCCACTCACGAGTGGTCGCTGGTGGCATATGCAGTATCCCTTTCATTTCTTTCTGCCACTGGGAAACAAGTAAAGTTATTATATGTTTTCAGATTGTTGGTGTGTGTACACATCTCTTACCCTGTGGTTCATTGACCAGCATCACACAGCGCAGCAGACAGGGGAGGGGCAATGTGAGGATGGCAGGGTCTGAGTCACTATTTCGTCTCAGAAGCTCTAACAGGAACATCAGAGAAGACGCCAGACGAGGTGGAGGAGTGTAACCTTTGAACTGCAGGAAGCTCTCACTGTAGAACCAGAGACATTTTTCAAACAAGTTGTGAAGATGATTGCATAGTTAAAAAATAGATTTATGTAAAAAAAACAAAAAACATTGGGCTGGACAAGAAACAACATCAACAAGAATATTAATGTGGGTGACGATAAGATATTCTGTCTATTTCCATCACTCTTATACAGACATTGATTTGCTGGACAGGAGACATATTTAATATACAACTTGGAAATTACAGGGAGATCACATTCCAGTTCGAGAGACCTACCAAAGCACCTCCAGGATGATCTTCCTCAGCACTGGCCCCCGGGAGATTGAATTGGCCTCGCAAGAACCCAGAAGCACCGGGTGGTTGGCAATGATGCCCATGGAAGGTGAGGCAGGAAGGAAATGATCCAGATATCTGCGGGTAACAGAACGGAGCTGCTGCTTCAGGTAGGCACCCTGCGACTGAGACACACTGGAGGCCACAGACAAACCCTGCAGGGGAATACATTAAAAATGTCAGAATGGAAACCTCTGAGCATATTACAGCCGGATGTGAGATGAAAGGGTTTGGATAAGGGTCTCTGTTGTCTTTCATGACACCGGATGCCTTTAGGCGTGCTGCGTGTTTATGTTTTGGTGTACAATATTGTTTTTCCTGACCTGTAGATACAGTGGTAGACTGTCCCTGAGAGCTTTATCCTGCTGCGTGAGGTTGTGGGGAAGCAGCAGCCCGTCCACGATACGGAACAGCAGGTGCTGGGCTTTTGATGTGGCCAGCAGGGGGCTCCAATGCTTCACTATGCAGCCTGAATCACACAGAGACAATCATAGTGAGATATTCACAACTGTAATAAGTCCCCCTGCCTGTGAAGTGGATTACACTGTAAAATCCAAGACACAAAGAACCTCCAGAAAATGTGTGTACTTGAGGTGTGTGAGCTATACACTTACCAACAGCCCAGTAGACCAGCTGCAGTCCGTCTTGGTTCTTGCTGACCAGAGAAGGTTTAATG